CCCAACGAGGTTTCCGTTCCTCGCCCTATATAGAATCCTGGGTCGAGATCTCTAATCTGAATTTATTTTTTATTTTTATTTTTTTTAAGATTTTATTTATTTATTTTTAGGGAGGGAAGGGGGGGGGGTGAGAGAGAGAGAGAGAGAGAGAGAGAGAGAGAGAGAAACATCAATGTGCGGTTGCTGGGGGTTATGGCCTGCAACCCAGTAATGTACCCTAGCTGGGAATCGAACCTGCGACACTTTGGTTCCCAGCCCGCGCTCAATCTAATCTGAATTTATTATTACTACATCAAACCACTTAGAGATCTACTAAAAATCCCAGACTCCCACCTTTTACCATCGTTAGGGAGAAAGGTATAAACAGGATCATTTTCACTCATAAGTGCAGATGAAAACAGTCACAAATACTGATGAATACAACACTTCCTCTTCAACCCCCCAAGAGCCAGAACGCTGGAACAGAAAGTCACCATGTAGCCAACCCCCCACTAGCAATGACACTAGGAACCAGCCATTCTGGAGAGCATCCCCCCCAAATTCTTCTTGTTTTCTAACAAGTATCAGCTGATACGCAGCAAGTACCAGGAAGCACAGAGTCAGACACAAAGTAGGCTTTCCACCAATGACTGTGGAAGCAGGAACGGCAGCAAACACTCTGCAGGCCGGACCCCCCACCCCTGCTCGCCCCGGGCCGGCTCCCAGCGCCAGGGCCCGTGGGTGGGGCACAGGCCGCCCTGCACACACAGTCTGCACCAGCGAACCGGCCCTCTGGCAGCGCGGAGGCAACCTTCTGGCCTCTGCCCGCAGGTCCACCAGCCTAAAGCATTCTTGACTCACAGACGGTGGAGCCGGAAACCACCTAGCCAGGACTCGTCTATTTTGGGCCCTGATTTATGGTTACAATCACACTGACGACAGATCTACGTCTCCTTCCAAAAGTCAACAGAAAGACTAACTTAATGGGGGAAAAAAATCATATAATCGCCACAAAAGTCCTCGAAAACTCATTTCTACTGACACTGCCCTGTCAAAGGCCATAAATGCCCAGCATGGCCCGAGGCATCACTCGGACCAGCCCGAAGAGGTGACCTACTAACACAGCCAGGCGCCCACCGCACGCAGAAGCGGCAGGACCCTCTCCACCCCACACGGCCTTGGGGCCCGACACGGCGGGAGCCACCGAGCCCCAGGGCATGGCGGCGGCGGCGGTCCCTTCATGGGTGGGGCTGTGCAGAAGGCGAGAGGGACTCGGGACGAGACGGGAAGGGTCCAGAACACGAGTTTCACTTTCCCACACAGGCTGGCGCGCATGGGTGCCCCTCTGCGCTGAACTAGACATGTCTTCTCGCCTTCAGGTCGTCTTCTGCTCGCCCTGCACCACTCTGAGTGTGAGCGGCTGGTTTCTCCTCCCCTCCTCTGTCCCTATCCCCACCGCTCTTCCAGAGGAAGAGGTAATTTTAATCTCCCTGAGGATTGAGGCAGCTCTAGGATGACAGAGGCAACTAGGAGTTGAATTCCAGTCTGGGTGACCCTAAGGTCCAAACTGGGCCTCCGGGACCATTCCGGAGCCAACCTGAGTTTCTGAGTCACGCAGGGAAGGCTGCTAGTCCCCAAGGTGCCCTCCACAGGAAGGCTCATCACACTGGTCCCAGGATCCACGGGGGCTGCCAGAGATAAATACCGAAATAATCCATTCTGTGGGAATAAGCCGGCATTCACCTTCACAAGTTCCAGCAAATCTCCTTTCCAAAAACAAGCGCGTGCCCCTTGAAGCAGCCCAATAACCTGGTAGATGCTGTTGTATGAGCCTGTATCGAGGCCCAAAGCACCCAAGATCATAACACTAGGGATGCCATGATGGGTGATACTGCTCAACCTTGCAAAACAAATAAAAGAAATTTTAAAAAGTACCAGCCCACCCAGAATTTTTAGCTCACGGATTATGCCCTGTAATATACGTACAGAATGAAGTGGGAACTCCTCTGTGGGCAAACAACTGGTTTCAACAGTTAGGCCACCAGATTAATGCCTTTGTCACCGAAGACGCCAGGAAGCTAAGGGCACACACCCAAATCTGGGTCTCCTCACCCCAGCTCCGTCAGTCCGCACCAGCTTCGGGCTCTCGTCGGGGCAGGTGTAACCTCTGAGGCAGTCCCACCCTCGGCCACCCCCAGTGTGATTGGCAGGCCCCCTGGAGCTGGTTGTCTTTGACTCACGCACCTGGTGTCCTGGGCAAAAGCTGCCAACTAAGAAAGGTCTCCAAGTCAAAAGGATGGGGCTGGCCAGAAAGTCCGTTACGTTTTTTCTGTACGATGGCTCTAGTAGTGCTTAGTTGTCTTTAACTTCATTTGAAACAATTTGGTTAGACTGCATTGGGACAACCATCCTATCAGTGTGAATTAAAAAAAAACTATCAAAACTGTTGAATTTTTTGCAGCCATTTTCATATTGCAGATAGAAAAATATATACATGTTTGGCATATTATGCTTTATTATTTCAAGAAAGGTAAAAAAACTGAATTGCAAAAAAAAAAAAAAAGACGTGTGCAGTGTGTGGAGAAGGTGCTGCGGCTGATCAAAGGTGTCAGAAGTGGTCTGCGAAGCTTCCTGGTACCACTGACGTTTTGGCCACATAACCCTTTGCTGTGGGTCTGTCTTGGGCATCGGAAGACATCTAGCAGCACCCCGGCCTCTGCCCACTAGCAGCCAATAGCGGGAGACAGCTGACATATCCGTATCAATAAAGTTACTGGTGAAAAAAACATACGGGCTTTTTGGCCAACCCAACAGCATCAGGGCACTCAACTCAGGTCCAAATCATCAGTGTCACCTGCGGGCAAAGCAGAACAGCCATCCCCCAGTACCACCTGGCGGTTTCTCCCAACACGCCAGGATGATCACCCGCAGCTGGTCAAGGGGCCGCACCGCAGGAGCGGAGAAAGGAAGCGATCAGCCCGGGAACTGATACCCTGCTTGTGTGACAGAGGGCACTCTGACCAAGTAACTCAGGTCGCTGTGCCGCTGTCCATCCCAGAGAGGGTCGGTCGGCGACGAGGCGGGCGGCCCAGCTGCCGGCAGCTCCAGCCTCGCTCCCCGAGAGGAACCCCGAGGCACCCGAGCCCTGCAGGCCGGGGACATGGGCTAGACCTGTGTGGGGGCCGACTTGTCAGAGCCCCGCGGCCAGTAGAGGCCCCTTCCTTTCCGGGTTCGGACAAAGAGATGGCCTCTCAGCAGAGGCACAGCCTCCAGGGGGAGCCGCAGCCTCCCAGCAGCCCCGTCCTCAGCGGTGTTTGTCTCGTGCTCACGGCCCACCGCCAGCCCCGCAGGCACGGGGGGACGCCGACCGTCGTCCACAGGGGCTGGTCCAGGTGCTGCTGGACACCAAAGTCCGCGGACGCCCGAGCCCCCTGGTCGGCCCTTGGGACCCTGGGACACGGGAGGCCGGCTGCACTGCACGTGTGGGCTTTGTTTTTGTTTCTTGTTCACAGCCGTGGTCTCCTTCCTCTCCTGTGCGAGGAGCTCACCGACTGTGAGGAGTGTGTCAGCTCAGAGGAGCTGCACTCCCCAGCCGGGGCAGGAGCTCAGGGAGGAGGTCACCACGGTCAACTCAGGAGAAGGACCAGGAGCTCGGTGGCTGGAGCGGGAGGGAGGTCTCCCAGGGGACCCCGGCAGAGCAGGTGCTTCTCTCAGGGTGCGGTGGGGACCGGACTCCGCCGGCCCGCTCGCCGCGCGCTGCACAGGGCTCCCGCGCTGCACGGGGGACGTGCGCCTCCAGGGAACGGCGGGCAGAGGGGGGCGCCACGCAGGCCGCGGAGCCGACGCGCCCCTCTGTCCTCTGTGAGCCCGAAGAGCTCAGAAATGTCCAACAGTGAGCATCCGTCTTGTGTCAGTATCGACACTCGGCTCCCTACGCGGTGTTTTCCCAGAGAGAAAGCTCTGGAATTTAAATCTGAAAAGTTCACACCTAATTCTCTTTTCAGCCCTGCCCAGGTAACGGCCCTCTGCGTTTCAGAGTCCTCCTCCGTCAAGTGGGAGCGGCACGGCCCGCCACCCCCACGCCCCAGGATCCCTGCCCGGACTCGCAGGGGGTCAGTCGTGGGAAATGGTTTCAAACAGCGAAGGGCCGGACGAGCGCTGGCCGCCGCGGGGACGCAGCTGCGAGCAGGAAGGAAAGGGCTGGAAGTGGAAGAGAAGAAGGTTCTTCCACCTGAAAGAGAAGCTGCGAGCACCCTGAGGAGCAGTTCTAAGCTGCTGGCTACACGGTGACGCGGGGAGGGTGACAACAGACTGATTTGTTATTTCCACGTCGATTCTCACGCCAACGCATTCCCTTTGCCCCGACCGCAGAAGGAGAAAAATAAGAAGGATTAGGAGTGGGTGTCCAGCGCTGAGCTCCCCAAGCAACGGCGGAGTCCCACCTGGGGGCGGGGGCGGGGGCGGGGGCGGGGGCGGAGTCAGCGCGACAGCCGCGCTCGCGGACCGCGGTTGCATAAGACGACGGCGGCAAAGGCGCTATTCCCCAGCGCCGAAGTGTCGCGTCCTCCACAGCCCGTGCACTGCGCCTATATAAGGACATGTGGTGTCGCCCATGCACGGACTCGTTGAAAGAGAAAAGGAAAGGAAGGCCATTCCGTAGCACCCAACAACCCCAGGAGACTCCTCGGGAGGCCGGCTCCCCGCGGGGGCCGCGGGCGGCCGGCGGCGGGCTGGTTCCGGCTCAGCGCCGACCCGCCGCACAGGAGGTGCGCTGCGCGGAGCCCTGCCTCCGGGGCGCAGCACGAGGACCTCGGAGACCGCACTGCAGCGGGGGCCGAGGGCTCCGAACGGGACCGCCGGGCGACACCGAGCGCACGCGCGGGCGGCCGCTCTGGAGCGCCGACTCCCGGGACCGCCGGGGCCCCAGCAGCCGTGACAGCCCGCGGAGGGGAGGGGCAGGGGACCGGGGACCGGGGACCGGGGCCGGGGCCGCCCCGGGGCCGGCGGCCGCGCGCGGGTACCTGGTGCAGGGCGGTGAGGCCGTCCACGTTGGCCGTGTTGATGTCGGCCCCCCGGGCCAGCAGCCTCTTCACCTCGTCCGTGTCCCCGCTGGAGCAGGCGGCCAGGAAGACCGCGCCGTCCTCGAAGCGCACCCGGGGGGCGCCGCGGCTGGAGCGCGCCTGCCGCTCGGCGGACTCCTGCTCCGTCTGCGAGCCCCGCCAGCGCCGCAGCTGCTCCGCCCGCCGCGCGCGCGCCGACTCGGCTCGCTTCCCGCCCAGGTGCTCCAGCTCGGCCATCGCTCGGGCCGGCGGCCGCGGCCGCGCCGCCGCCGCTAGGTCACGGCCGCCCCGGGGGCCGCCGCCGCCTCCTTCAGAGCGCGTCAGCCGGGAGCAGAAGGCGGAGACCCGCGCGCCACCATCTTTACTGCTCCGCCGCCCGCGCCCCCGGCGCGCTCCCTGGACTTCAGCACGCAGGCGCGCGGCGCCCCGGGGCATCACGGGACTTGTAGTCGGAGACCGGCCCCAAGGGCGCCCCTTGGCCCTCAGAGAACTACAATCCCTGGATGCAACAGGAAAGGGGCCAGAACCCGCGGCCCCCGGCTTCGCCCGGGACCCAGCGGGGTCACCTTTGCCCCAAAGCTGGAACTGACTCCCGCAGTGGCGGCAGCCTCTGTGGGCATTTTGGGAGTCGTAGTTTATTCTTGTTATGACTGCCAACTACTCTCGGCTTCCCAGTGATCACGGCGGGCCTTTGAAGTGGAAAGGGCTCGGGAATTATCCCCATATTCTGTTGGGGAAAACTAGACAGGAAGTACCTGGTTCTAAATCTAGACCTTTATTAACATTATAAATGCAGTACGTCACCAAGTTTTAATCACAGTAAGTGCCAATGTGCACGAGGACGAGGACCGCACACACACGTACTTCGAACTTGACCCAGGCTCTAGGCTCGGAAGAGATCCTGGAAAGGACGCGTTCAGGTGCAGCCCCAGACGAGTCGGGTGACTTCTCCGAGCCTGTTTCCCGATGCGCGGAGTGGGAATAATAATGTCTCTGGTATCCATGTGGATCAAATAAGATACGGTATGGAAGGACACCTAACATTATCCCCGGCACGTATCAGCTCGCGGCAACTGTGAAGTCCCCTTCGTTCTCTCTTCTCTTCGGCCTTAAATTCTTAGGAGACAGAATCTCCTTAGCACGGATCTTCAATTCTTGGGAGACAGAATGGATGTCTTGTCTTCTGCGATTCCCTAAACCCCTCCCCCAGCTACAAAAAGGCACCGTGGAGCATACTGTAAACTCGTAAGGCAGCGAATTGGGCATTTTCATATTCACAGTGAACTTGGTTACAAAGCCTGTCAGATTGATTTAATAACTATACCCCCAGGTCCTTAGGCCTGGACAAAATTAATTAAATGTATTATCCATAATGAAAGAGAACACATACAATTACTAGGTTCTTCAAACTTTTCAGTGTGTTGAAAATTTTTCATTTAAAAATGTTGTAAAAGTGATTAGGCCATTGAAAAGGGAAACTTTATTATATCCCATTTATTAATGGGATATAATAAATCTGCCAGTGCTACAATTTCCCCTGAGATGAACTGAAACTCAAATGAAAAGTTACATGTAATGGGAAAATATTATTTAATACTATACCCACTACAATATGCTTTAATTAGGTATTCTTAAATAACCTATAGGTACTAATTAGGTCCTCCAGCATCTTTAGGAACTGAGAATAATATATATCACTCCTTGTTTTCCCTGCTCTGTGCCAGTTTACAGTCACTGTAGAATTTGCCATGCCTCATCATCTAGAGCAATGAAAAGTTCTGTATGGGGTTTACGTTGTACAATAACTTGTCAACATTCCAACTCAGCCTCCAGCTGATAATTAAAGTTGCCCACAAGCCCTCGATAAGACTTTCCCGATAGCGTAAAAGAAACACTGACGTTAAATCCAATAGGAAAGGATACACAGGTAAAAACCTAACCCTCTTTAGGAAACCATTATCAGCTAAACTGCCAGTCTGGCAAGGAAGCCAGGAAGTGAGAGGAGCAAGGTTTGTGCATAGAGCGAATTGCGGGAAGCTCAGGAAGCACGTCGAACGGCCACCAGTGAGCCTCACTTTAATCACTTTAATACCGTGCTCCTGGCGCACAGCAGCTGCTCCAAAAAGTGTGTACAATCGAACCGCATATTTTACTGGCCTGCTTTTTTCATGAAGGTTTTTCAATTGGGGTAAAATTTTCAGGGGTCAATAATGTTACGTTTCTTGTGGCTGCACTCTTTTCACATTCAGAATCTGGAAAAATGACTTCTGCTTCCAGTTGTATGAATAAGCTAAAATCAATCCAGTCCAGGTTAAATCCTTACTTTCCCCAAAGTATGAACTTAAATTTCAACAGGGAGAATTCAGTTTCAATACTAGGAAGTTCCAGGAAGCACTTTCTTCCGTATCTGTTTTATTTGCCTTCTTTCCCCCTGAAGTGTTGGGCTGGCCAAAAAGTCCACTGCAGTTTTTTCTGTAAGATGGCTCTAGTAGCACTTAGCTGTCTTTAAGGTCATTTGAAACCATTTTGTTAGATTGTATTGTGACAGCTGTCACATCGGCGTGCGTTTTAGAAAAACTTACCAAAATGGGTGAATTTTTGTGCAACCATTTTAATATTGAAGATGGAAGACGTGCAACATTTTCAGCACATTATGCTTTATTATTTCAAGAAAGGTAAAAATGCAGCCAAAACGCATAAAAATGATTTGTGCAGTGTATGGAGAAGGTGCTGTGACTAGTCGAACGTGTCGTAAGTGGTGTGTGGAATTTCCTGGTACTACCGGCAGCATTTTGGCCACATGTCCAAATGTGGCCGGGGCTGTCTTAGGCACCGGAAGACGTTTAGCAGCACCCCAGCCTCTCTCCGCTAAAAGCCAATAGAAGGAGAGAGCCGACATACTCAGAATGTCCAAATCAATGAAGTTCCTGGTGAAAATGAGAAATCTGTCTATGGACTTTTGGCCAACCCAACCAGCAGTGAGCGTGTAAGGCCCTCCTTGGATATTTCATGTAAGCAGCTAAGTTCCTTGGATAATTGACGTGCACACTCACCAGGGAAGAGAGGGATGTCTTCCAGCTGTGTAATTATGGAAAGCAGTACTAATCATTTTAACCTAATTAACTGAACTGGCTCAGCCAAAAAGGTGTTTACCACCAAAATAAACAATTAATTTACGTATAACGGTTTGCAAAGTTTTTCAAAATTAACGTAAGTTTTTTCCTGAAACCTCTTCCCGCAGCCGCGACTCGCTGAGAGTAAACGTATACAGTGAGCTCATTAAACAAACATGACAGGGATACTAAATCAATGTTCTACTCTAAAGAAAATACATTTCACGGGCAAGTGATAAAATCCTGGCAAATAAGTCTGTGAATACATAAAATGTAATCGTTGTACATGTAAATGTACTGAGCCGGCTGTGATGCAGACACGCATGTCCTCGTATAAAGAGACATTAATTTCCCACATACGCGCCGTAACAACCCCAGTGGTAGACGGCTCCGTCTTTAACACCTGCGCTCCCAGTTGCTCCCAGTTTCCGGGACCTCTCCGCCCGGCCTCCGTTCCCGCCGTTCCCACGCCTCCCCCTGGCGGACACGCGGGAACTGCGCGTTTAACCCCTTGCGGCTCTGCCCTCGGATGCAGGCCTCCCCGTTCGGTTGCCGAGAACTACAGGTGATCTGCTCGTCCCCTCACGCCGTCCCTCCACCAGACTCAGTACGGCTCCTGCGTCTGCGAAGAGACCGTCAGCGACCCGTTTCCGAAAGAACCACCCGGGAAGAAATCACCTTCGGTTCCGAAGGCACAACTGTCCCTGAGATCCAGCCCCAGCTGGGGTGCGAAGGAGATGACCGAAGCCCCCGATGTCGTTCACAAGCCACCGTCAGCTGGTTCGTTCCTGCGGCCGTCGGGGTCCCCGGGGCGGAGTCTGGAGGAGAAAGCACATCCCCTGCCGCGGCCCCGGGGCCCCAGCGTGGACCAAGCGCGGAAGTCACCGCGGGGGTCACGCTATCGGCTGGCCGGCCATCTCTCCCGTGCCACCGCTCTTCCAAAGCCGGCGGAGAGCACGGAGAGCAGTGAGACGAGGGTTCGGGGTGGAGGGTGGCCCCGGAGGCCCGTCCTCTGGCGTCCAGCGGGTGTGAGCCTGCTCCCGGGCGGCTCGGCTGTCCACTGGGGCTCCCGGGTCAGGACTCGCGCTGCGGAGGCGGAAGGAGGTTCGGAGCGCTGTCCCGACTTCCGCCCCGCCGGGATCCGCCTCCGCAGCCCGCGGTTCGGTTCCGAGTTCTGACGGCCGGCAGGATCGCGGGGCTCAGGCCGCACCCTTGACCTCCACCCACGGTCTTAGGCGCGTCCTCCGTGTCCCGCGAAGTGCCACGGCCGCCCTGCAGCACCCCGAACCTTCCCGCTCCCTGCACTGTCCCTCTGGGGGTTGGTTTCCAGCGCCTTCTCCGATCAGACCACGGAGCCGGCCCGGTAACCCGCCCCGTAGCTGTTCCAGCCCGCCCGCAGGAAACCGGCTCGGAGCAGCGGGCTCCCGACCTGAACCCGCCGCGTCCGGCGCTCGCGGTTGAATTCGCGGGCTAAGAGCGCGAGCCAATGGGCGGCTGCGCTCGTGTCCCCGCCCCAATGCCAGCCAGTCACGACCGGCGCTCGAAGGAGCGCGCATGCGCAGGTGGCGGCGGGTCCGCGGCGGTTTTGCAGTGAGGAGGTCCGCGTGCGTAAGCAAGGGGCTGGGGCTGGGTCCCGGCGGGGGTCCCAGTGGGTCTGGGGGCGCGTCCTGCTCCCGCGTGGCGTGGAGGTCCCCCTGGGCGGGGCCCTCGGGACCCGACGGTCAGCCTGTGGGGAGGCGGGTGGGCGGGCGGACGAGAGCCCGGGCTCGGGCCCCGCCCACCACAGAGCGGCGCGGAGGACCGAGACGCCCCTTAACCGGCCAGGGACTCGGCCGGGGACCTGCAGTGACAGCCTGTCGGAGCCAGCGGCGGCGCCCGGAGCGGAGGATGGGGCGGGGAGGGTGGACCGGACCTGTTCCTGACGGGAAAGCGCTCCCTCGACGCGCGGGTCCGCGATGCGCGGGACGGGTCTCGCGGTCCCGGCTGGCGCCGGGGGGCGTGGTGGGGGGCGGGAGGGGGGCGTGTGGGGGGCGTGGCTTCGGAGTGTTTGTGGGCGGAGCCTGGGGGCGTGGTGTCGGGACTCCAGCCCCTGCGAACACAGGCGGGGCCAGGGCCTCCCTCTGCGCGCCCCGGCGCTCCACCCACCCGCGTCCCCGCCTGTCCACCGCATCCCCGTGTCAGGCACCCGTGCGCTGGCAGACGCAAAACCTGTCAATAAAAGGCGTGAAAGGGGTTCGCCCGAGGCATCTGTCTGTCCTTCTCTGAGCGGAGACCGTGCGCCCAACCCCAGGCACTTCTGTGTTTCAGAGCTGCCCTTTTCCCCGGGCCAGCCCCGCGAGCCCTGAGCGCGCAGGGACCATGCAGAGGGCCTCGCGCCTGCGGAGAGAGCTGAGCCTGCTGGCCACCGAGCCTCCGCCCGGCATCACGTGCTGGCAGGACGCCGACCAGCCGGGGCTGCGCGCCCGTAGGTGCCCGGAGGGGTGTGGGTGGGGGGCGCCCATGGCCCCGCCGAAGGCTGTGCTGAAATGTGCACAGCTGTCCCTCCGCGAGCAGGGAACCCTCCGGCCTCCCGGCGCCCCCGCGGCCTCCGCCCCAGGCCGCCCCCATTTGTAAACTGTCTGCTCGGCATCTCCTCTTGGACCTTTGCTGTACTTTTGCCGATGGGTAACCGCGGTTGGGGCATGAGCGCCTCAACGCCCCGCGAGGCCAGACGGGGACGGAAATGACGGGCAAGTCTGTGCCCAGCGCTTCCCAGCTCGAGCCGACCTGCCCGGGGTGCTCAGGCTGGCGCCCTCACTGTCTGGGCATGGCCGTGGCGGCAGCGCATTTTGGGGACTGGTTAAAGCCCTGAGCGCATCGCCGTCCCCGCCGGCTCCTCCGGCTCCTCCGTAAGGCCGTACGCGTCAGTGGGCCACGCGGGGCGGTCATTCAGATGATCCGATCGTCTCTTCACTTTCTCTCTTTCCTTCTAAGAAATCGTCGGTGGGGCCAACACTCCTTATGACAAAGGCGTCTTCACGCTGGAGGTGGTCGTCCCCGAGAGGTTAGTGTGGGTCAGATTCTGCACCTGCAGGGCTGGGCTGAGCCCAGCGGCCAGAGGACGGAGCGGCGTGCGAGCTGGAGGACCTGGGCGTTAGTCTCTGTGGTCGGGGCTGGGTGCCGACTGTGAGACGGCGCAGGGCCTGCTCCAGGGGGTGGGGGCGGGGGTGCTGCTGCACCACCCTCTCACGTTCCCCGTGTTTGTCACCTGCCACGAGGAACATCTGGGGTGGGGGGGGGGTGGCCGTCTTTCCAAGTGGTCGCCGGGACGCCCTTCGTGGTGGATTGAGAAGCAGCGTTTTAATGAAATTCCTCTGTTGTCCTGTGCTCTCGAAGGTACCCGTTTGAACCGCCTCAGATCCGATTTCTGACTCCAATCTACCATCCAAACATCGATTCCGCGGGGAGGATTTGCCTCGACATTCTCAAGCTGCCGCCAAAAGTGAGTGAGCGGGGGTGCGGGGCCGGCAGCAGCGGCGCGGGGGCTGGCAGGTGGGCGCCGCAGCCCCTGGCCCCCGCTCACGCGAGGCCCTGCCACCTGTGCGCAGGGGGCCTGGAGGCCGTCCCTCAGCATCGCCACCGTGCTGGCGTCCGTCCAGCTGCTCATGGCCGAGCCCAACCCGGACGACCCGCTCATGGCCGACATCGTGAGTGCCCGTGCCCCTGCCCGCGCCTCCGACCCTGGCGGCGAGGCTGCCGGGCGCAGGGACCCGCCCCGGCGGGTCCTCTTTCCCTCCCCCAACTCCCTTCCTCGGGTTTGCCCCAGTCCGCAGAGTTCAAGTACAACAAGCCCGTCTTCCTCGAGAATGCCCGGCAGTGGACGGAGAAGCATGCGAGACAGCGACGGACGGTGAGGCGTTCGCTGGGCTCTGACTCTCTGCCGCCCCCCCCGGTGGGCGGGTGTGCTGCAGAGACACGGAGAGACGCGCAGGCGCGGCGGCATCCTCGCGGGTCTCTGCGCCGAGCACACTGGCCTCGGAGCTCAGCCACCAGCAGCTTTTCCCCGACAGTTGTCACCCATTAATGACACCAGGGAGCAGGCAGCCACTGGGTGATGCAGATCCCTGGGGTGTCGCGGCCAGTGAGGGGCGACTCCCACTCGGAGTCTTTCCCTGAGACTTCTTGCTGACACCGTTTGCGGGAGGCGGGCAGGGGTGAGGGTGCAGGAGGGAGGGGCGTGGAGTTTCTCATCCCGTTTGCGGGGGCAGGAGGACTCCCCACTGGAGTGGCGCTTCCTGTTCCCGAGCGCACAGTGCAGGAGCGCAGGGTGAGCACCCCGCTCCTGCCGAGTGGCAGCGTCCTCGGGAGTGAGCCGAGGGGTGGCGAGTGCCCCTGTGCGGCGGGAAACTTCCGAACAGGAAGCCGAGGGAGGGAGCGCGCGACCCGGAGGCAGCGGAGAAGGCCCTGCCGGCGCTGCCCGGGGCCCGGGGCCCGGTGGCTCCGTCCTGGCGCCAGCCTGAGCCTCGGGTGTTCCTCCTCAGGCTGGCGAGGAGGAGACGCCTGGAGCCCCACCAGCGGCCGGCGACTCGGCAGCACACAGCCCGGCTCAGAAAAGGAAGGCCGGGCAGCTGGGAGGCAGGGAGAAGAAAGCCCGCCCCGACGTGTAGGGGCTGGCCCTGGCCGTGGTCCCGGTCCCGGTCCCGGTCCTGGTCGTGGCCCGGCGGAGTCTGCACTCTGGACCAGGGCAGCCTGGTCGGCCCCCTGTCTCACCCGGTTTCCTTGTGCGTGATGACATCGTCGCGTCTGTGCTGTGTAAAGCAGGCCTCCTGTGTTTATGTATCCTGCCCGTTGCGGGTTCTCTGGTGGAGTTTGGTTTATTTAGCTTGTACACATGTATCCTGAAACTTTTTAAACCTGAAAAATAAATAGTCGTTTACTGTTGAGTGTGTGTGTCCTGAATGTGCGTCTGGGAGCCAGCTGGCCTGGCCAGAGCGCTGGCCACACGGCGAGAAGGCGGAAGCAGCCTCAGTCGCTGCCCTTCCTTCTGCCGACTGGCTCACCGTCCCCACCACTGTCACCGTCACCTCCGGGGCTGCGGGGCACAGGCTGCTGTTCACCTCTGCAGCGTCCTCGCTGCGAGTTGCACGGCTGGTCGGAATCACGGCGGGTGGCCTTCCGACAACCGCCCGCTGGACACTCACTGTGGCCCGCCCGGGTCTGCGCCAGTGTTCTGGGGTGCAGTGGGGAGGCATTCAGACGTGGACTAACCCAACAATTGTGAATTTAAGCAGGGTTCTCACAGCCCCTACCTGCCCCTGGCTCCGCGCCCTGCTCGGAACAGTGGGGCGCTGCACCTGCACCCCTGCTCAGGACTGTGAGTGCACCTGGCTCGTCCCCGTCGTCCTGTTAGGTGACAGAAAGCAGAGGGGACAGAGGTCAGGTGAAGTGGAAGGGGGTTGCCCTGCTGAGCGGAACTTGGAGACGTGGAGGACGGCAGGTAACAGGACTGCCGTGTCCCTGTGCGTGTCCCACTGCGGTGACTGCCTGGCGAGGTGCCGTCACGGCGGAGAAAGCGCCTGAGAGGGCAGCTCCGCCCGTCCCCGTGAGTCCCCTGGCCCCCACCCCCCGGCCGCCGCAGGACGCCCGCGGCACCGGCACCGGCTCAGGGACGAGAAGTGGGTCCACCGCGACAGCACGGCGGAGACCAAACACACCCGTTCCCTTCGCGCCCCGTCTCCTCGGCCCCCGACCTCCCCAGAGCCCGTTCCTGTTTCTTCCTAGAGCCCGGCACCCGCGGGGCCCCAGGCTCGTCTCCGCCCACGTGTGCTGCGTCCCACTCGGGGCCTGGACGCGAGCAGAGCCCCACTCGGGCCAGAGCTGCCCAGGAGGGTGCTCTCTGCTCTCCTGCCCGTGAGGCCTGGGGCAGCATGAGCTCCGGGGCTGGGGGCTGGGGGCTCCGTCTTCCCACCCACCGTCCACAGTGGCGACTTTCTCAGGCCGTCTGCTCCTGCTGTGCCACCGGCACCAAAGCCTTAGGGACTTCCCTCACGTGGCTGGCCGTGGACCAAGTCCCGTGACCATCGGGCCACACCAACCCCCAGCTCCGAGGCCAGGAAAGCCGGGCTTGCAGTGGCAGAGGGACTCGGGGGCAGGGGAGGAACAACACAGGACGGCGGGACAGACCCCACCCGCTGCTCCAGCCCGGGCAGCCCTCGGCTGCCATCCCTGCCCCCACCCCAGCACCAACCTCTGTCCTTGCGCAGACACAGCCACTACCTTGTCTCCTGGTCCCCAGTGTGGCCCTCTGCAGTCCACGTGTCCTGCAGCCACGAGATCGGTCTTTTAATGATGCAAAAGCCGCTTTTACTTCCGTCCTTGGAGTCCTCCCAGTAGCTCCCTGCCTGGCCCCTGCCCCTGCCCCTTTCTCCGCACACCCTCACAGAAGCAGCTACACCCCACACCCCACTCCGGCCACAGGGCCACGCAACCTGAGCACACCCGGCTCTCTGCCCCAGCGCCTGCACCAGCGCCATCCCCTCCGCCTTCGTGGCCGTGATAGTGTCGGCTCACAGGAAGGCAGCCGCCCAGGAGTCCTTGCCCGTCCCTTATGAAGAAGGCACTCTGGCCCTTGGCTGCTGCCACCGGGGTCGTTTCCCACGCCCTGCCTGAGAGCACGGCCAGGAGCTGGCCATCGTGGCTGCAGGGGCTTCTCCAGGCGTCAGCGACACGGAGCCGCCGGGTCTTCACGGCCGCTCGCCCACTCCGACGTGGCAGGCGCCAGGACTGGGCGGCGGAGCAGGGGAGAGAGAGAAAAGCCCGAGGAAGGGTGGGAGGGAGGGTGGGAGCCCTGGGGCGGCCACCTCTCTATGCCCCAGTTTCCCCTGCACAACGCGGGCGCCAGAGACCTGACCCCCGGGCTGTTGTGAGGGCCGGCCGAGAGGGAGCGCCCAGCAGGGGACAGGGGTGGGGACCTCGGTCAGCCCCAGGTGGCCCCCAGAGCCGCTCCGCACCCATCTTCTCTGTTTCTCGGACGGGTGAGCTGAGCGCCCCCAAGCCCCTAATTAGGGAGGAGAGGGGACACCGTGACCAGTCGCATAAATGCCGCGGGTTCCACGCTCCCTCCCCTGGGCCCTCCCCTCCCCACGCGGCACAGGAGCATCTAAACCAGCGTGGACTGTGACAAATAAAGCTCCTTCCGGACAAGTGTGTGTTTTCCCGTCAGTGTGTGCCCCCCCTATCCCCACCCCCCACGCTCCCACCCAGGCTGTCTTGTTTATAGGCGGGGCAGCCTGGGGGAGGCGAGGACAAGGACGGAAGAAGAGGGGGGCTGTGGTTCCGAACCTGTTCCCCAGGCCGGCCAGCTGCGGTGCAGCTGGACGGGGCTGCCCATGAGCAGGAGCAGGCAGAGGCTGGGGATGGGCACAGAGCAGCTACACCCAGAAACAACGCTCTCCGCTCTGTCCTTGCTTCTTGGGACATCTCCCCCACCCCCACCCTGGGCTCCTGCCAGGCCCCCCAGGACGCCCATATCTCTCCCCAAGTTTCAGTTTCTATCAGGGGTGACTGGTGACCCTTCCTTCCATTCCCGGCACCTCAAGCAGGACCTTACAACTGCACTTCAAAGATGTCCTGCAGGGACAGCTTCCCCCCTCCACTCCACCCCCACCTCCTCCCAGCAGAGGAGACCTCCTGGGGCTGAGGCTGAAGTCTGCAGGTCCCCTGCAGGCTTGGAAGTTGCCTTTGAGGGGCGCCAGAGCAGGGGGAGGCCCCTGTGGGGGAGCATCCAGGTTCCCCCACCTGGACTCACCACCGGCCTCAGAATGTGACCAGGAGGCTCCTCCTCCAGGGTCCCGTGAGCCCCAGGGTCGCCCACAGGCTCCTGCCTGTCTCCCCTGCTTGCCCCTCCGGGAGCCGCCCCATCTCACGTGCTGCCAGCTGAGCAGCTCCCAGACCCCACGCCGGGGGCACCGAGCCGCCCACAGCCCCCAGCACTCACTCCGGGCCCGGCACTCGCTTCTTCACGCGAGGAATCTCCTCTCCCGGCTTCAGCGGCCTGCAGAGTGCAGGAGCCGCCCCATCTCGGTTTTCCGCTGACGGCGCAGACGCAGAGGTTAAGGGAAACCCTCAGACGGACACGCCTGCCAGCACCGGCAGGTCTGGGGCTCCCGCCCAGGCCTGTCTGGGTCCAGGGGCAGAGCGTGCGGACCTCAGGGGCAGGGACGAGAGGACGAGGCGGGTCCCAGTCACCCGCCCACCTTCCCTCCGGGGCTCGCCCGTCTTCCACGTTCACACCTTGTCCGCAGTCACCGCGAGGGGCCTCCCCCCAGGACCCCTCTCCCCTCCTGAGGGCCCACCCCCACAATCCTCCCTGCCCAGCCACATTCCCGGTCAGCAGCTGCCCTCTTGGGCCTCACACCGCATGTGGGCAGGGGGAGGCAGGGAGGGGGTGTCAGGAGGCCTACCTGCCAGTGGCAGAACTCGACCACCTCACCTGAGCAACCAGAAATCGCGGCGTCGCTGCTGAACAAGCCCCGGAACTTTCGGGGCTTCAGCTTTTGGGGCTCCAGCCCTGCACACAGGGACAGGACAAGCCGTGGGGCCCGGGGCGCACCCGCCTGGGGGTGCCCCCTGCCTGGGGGTGGGCAGGGGCGTCCGCCCCGCCTGAGCCGATCAGAGAGCAGCCGAGGCGCAGGCAGAGGGCCCAGCGCGGGGAACGAGGGACCGAGGTGGGCGTGGGGTCCCGGAAGGGAAGGGACCGGCACAGGGCAGGGCGCGGGCTGGCGTCCGGGCCTCCGGGGCAGTTCTCCCGATCGCCTCCGTGTCGCCCAGGGGGAAGGAAGCTGCGCCTCCTGGCCAGGGGTCCCCGCCAGGTGGGGGAACAGAACCTTCTCGGACGTATTTGGATAGGCTAATTCCATAATCCTTTTTTTCCAGCAGAAAGTAACTGAGCACCAGCTGCGGAGGCCCCAGAAAGGGCTGTGGTCGCCGGTGGGAGAGGCACTCTGCGGGCCCTTCCCGCCGCGCCCACGGACAGCCCCGCTCTGCCGGAGCGGCCACCACGCAGACCTAGAGCCCCAAGGGCCTGGCCCCAGTGGCCGACCGCAGCTGGCTGCCGACCCGTGGTTCGGCCTCGTAGGGAGAAAGAAGCTGGACGGGGCGGGGGGGGGGGAGGGGGTCTCACCCAGTCCCTCAGGACACTGGCCTGGGACATCCTGAGAGGAACCACGGCCGTGGGCCGGGGGACAGAGCGGGGAGCTGGCGGGGGCGGCCTGAGGAAGACGGGGGGACCCCGTCTGCAGCAGCCGTGGGCCCCGAAGAGGCAGAGTCGCTTCTGCGGTTGCTTTCTGCATCCCAGGACACGGGGTCCCCAGGGTGGGAGCCTCCCGGGTCTCAGCTCCGACTCCCGGCTCAGGCCCCGGCGCCTCTCCTCCTGGGAGACCCGCCCTCCTGTGCCCGGGCACCTGAGTGTGCCTGTGAGAGCTGCAGGTGGAGGGGGCCAGCCTGGACTTCCCGCCACAGCTCTCACCTGGGCCCCCGGTGCACGCCCGCCCCTGCCCCATGGGGCACCCTCCTCTGGGAATTTATCTTACAGATATTCTTTTCAAAAAAGATTTTATCGACTTATTTTTAGATAGAGGGATAGGGGAGGAGAGAGAGAGGGAGAGAAACATCAGTCGGTTCCTGTCTACATGCCCCCAGCTGGGGACCCGGCCCACAACCCAGGCAGGTGCCCTGACCGGGAATCAAACTGGTGACCTTTTGGTTTTGGGGTGATGAACATCTTGCTGGGCCTCCCAAGCCCCTGTCCAGGGCCGTTTTACAGATGGTCTTGCTGTGGGTTCTTATCCTGCAAAGGGGCCCCCCTGTTGTCTTGGGACACCAGCCTCCTCTGAAGCAAGGCTTGGGGGAGCAGGCCCCCGAGGCGGAGAGTGGAGAGCAAGGGGACCCAGGAACAGGAGAGCATGCTGACCTTTGGGGTCAGGAGGCCGAAGCACAGGCCTGGGTCCGAGTCCTTGGAAGCCCACTGGCTCCTGCTTCCTCCACACGACTCTCTCCAAGCAGGTGCAAGCACAAGGGGCGAGGGCCGCTGATTCTGGCCCCTCAGAGCCTCGCCCTGGGCCCCCTCGGCGGGGCCCGAGGTGCCCGAGCTCAGAGGCCAGGCTGAAGAAGAGCCTTGACCCCTGACTGCTCCCCCAAGACCGCCCCTCAGGTCCCCCAGAAGCAGGACACGCACGCTACTTCATGGTGCTTTATTGTACAGAAAAATCCCAGTACGTACACTTTACAGTTCTTACACTTCACACAGCCGCGGCGGGGAGGGACCGAGGCCCGGGAGTGACGGGGGTGGGGTGGGGTAGGGGCCATGGCTGCCCCAGAGCAGAGGTAGTTACAGGGGAGCCAGAGAGGAAGGAGCTCCGGCCCCTCACTCAGGCTCCTCGGTGTCCACAGCCCCCAGTCCTTGAACCTTGCATGCCCCCCCCCACCAGAAGCAAAGTTGGGAAGGGGGCTGGGAGGCTGGAGTTGGGAGAGGAAGGCCCAGCCGGGGGCTCTGTTCACCCTCGAACCTCAGCACGGGGCTCAGGGTCTGTGCCCTCCCGGTGTGTCTGGGTGCCTCAAGAGTCCCGGTTTCTCCGCCTCAGGAAGTTCTCCGCCAGCCGACCTGGGAGGGGTCTCAGCACCCGGAGCCCCGGCCTTTGACGGGTCCTTCCCCTGCAGGATGCCGCCTTGGGAGATTCTGGGAACCAAACGAAATGGCCTTACAGGCGCTGGATTATTTAGTGTGCAGCTCAGCGTCTCAGCGAAGTCACACGGGATCGTCCTCGTCTTCTGGTCACGATGGAGATGCCGCGGGGGCGGCCCCCCTGCTCCTGGAGAGTCAGAGGCAGACACCCGCCCCGTCGCCGCCGCACCTCCCGCAAATGCGGGGCATCTACGAGGCCCTCTGACGAAAGAAAGAACTTCTGGGAAGATGCCCCTGCTCTGCCCGCGTCTTCCGACCAGAGGGGCCGAGGCCCGGGCACCTGCTCGGGTCCTCGGGGCGACGTGATGCTGGTGGCGCCCCAGAGGCGGCAGCCAAGGCGCACCGGCCCCTTCCGTGGGAGCGGCCACCTGCCTGGACAGTCCACAACCCCAGGACCTCCAGCACGCGGCCTGCACCCCACTCCCCGCGGCTTCCTGGCCCCGAGGGCGGGGTCCGGGTGACTTCCTAGAAGTCGAGGCTGCCGACGTCCCACCGACTTTGCAGCCCGGGGCACCTTGGAGAGCATCTCGCCACCCGGGAGCCACCTGTTCGCCGCGCCCAGACCGGAGCACACCCCTCCCCTTCGAGGCTGCCGTCCGCCCCGGGAACGGGCGCCCGGCATTCCCGAGTGGCCCGCCACCGCAGGAGTGGGCAGGCACACGGAGAGGGCCGGTCCCAAGGCCAGCACACCCACTCCAGGGCCTGCGAGGGTCCAGGCCCCTCAGCAGGTCGGCGGGACTGAGGGAAGGGCCCGTGCTGCTCCCGGTTCAGCCACATGGCTGCAGCGTGGCCCGTGCAGACTGTGGCCTCGGGTCAGCGCCTGCCCGGCCCGGGAGCAGTGGGGGGACCACGGAGCGGCTAGGCTGTGAAGCCAAAGGGCCGTCTCTGGGTCGTCTTGGCAGCGGAGCCCTGGGAAGGGGCCTGGGGGGCTGGCTGAGGACCGGGGACTCGGGAAGTGGGCCGTGTTCCCTCAGTCTCGGATTCCAGACCCCTGTCCTGATGTGGCCGATGTCGGGGTGCCCTGGGACCGGTCTCCTCCCGATTGTCTTCGTGTGTCTGCAGAGTGGTCCTGCTCTGACTGCCTCGTCCCGAGTGTGTGTGCCTGGTGGGAGGGGCCTCCCTGGGGTGCTCAGAGGCACCAGGCGAACTGCAAGGTAGGAAGGCGTGATGGGTCAGGCAGAAGGGTCCTGGCCTATTGGGCCCCCAGTTCCTGTAATGCTTCCTACAACACACACGTGCAACAAATGCCCCTCCAGTGTGCTGGCTGAGGGCCAGCCCCCTCAGAGAAGACGGGGCCCAGGATGTGGAGACAGGACCCGGCTCTGGCACGAGGTGAACAAGAGAGAGCCACAGGGTGGCAACTCAGGGCCCAAGAGCAGCCAGAGAGCCCCTGGCGGGCTGTGTGCGCTTGCTGGAACCCGGGACCCTCCCTCTGCGGACGCCGGGCTGGGGCGGCGGCGGGAGGCCGGTGCTGCCTGCCCCTGCGTCAGGGGCTGCGGCCAGAACCACAGGGCAGCCTCCTCCCTGCGCTTCGCAGGCGGAGACTCTGCCAGCGGGTGCCTCCCGCCTTACCCAGGTCCAGATCCTGGGACAGGGGCACCTGGTGGGGTCCCCGGGGAGCACGCGGCCCAGCCCCGGGAGAGAGCAGTGCTGAGAGGTCAGCCGTCCACGGACACCGAACAGGCACACGCGCCCTGTGTCCGACGGCCGGGCGGCTGGGGGAGATGGTGGCGGCGGGCCCCCTGCTGCAGGGACCATCAGAGCCTGCGTGGCCTAGGGCCTGTGTGCTGCCGGCCCTCACGCGTCTCCGCAGGGCAGGCGTCAGGGCAACGGGTCACAGGGCACGTGGTACGTGCGGCCCACGAGCGGCGGGGGCGAGGCCCACACAGCCCCTGGCCATCCCTTGAAGGGCTTCTCCCCCCGAGAGCCCCCTCCCTGAAGCAGAGGTGAGCGGGTGGCGCCCGGAGGACGACCCAGAGGAAGCCAGGCCACACAGCCCACGCCGGTGAGGGTCACGGGGCCTCCTCCTGGGCACGACGGGCTGCGTGCGGGCTGGGTCCAGTGTCCAAGCAGCCGCCGTCCCTGGGGGGCGGGAAGAAGCTGATGGGACACAGGGGTGGGGGGGGCGTTTACATGTAGGAGGCAAAGGCGGAGCCCGAGCACGGGCTGCCCCTGCCCACTGACGAGCACCCGCCACCCGGTGCGGCCCCCTCTGCTCTCAGCAGCAGCTCCCTGTCCATGGAGGGCTGCTGGTTCTCAAAGCGGGTTCCCTCTGGCTCCACACAGCGGCCGCCTTCCAGCCCGGTGGCCCCCTGGGAGGCCAGGGCCACTGTGGGGAAGCCGCAGGTCTCCGGCCCGGGGGAGCGCGCGGCCTCAGAAGCTTCCAGGGCGAGGTCCACGTCGGAAAAGGCCACCAGGGCCTGCGTGGAGTCGCAGGCGCTCTTCTGCAGGTGGCCGGCGGCGGCCGAGACCAGGGGCCGCGCGGCGCCCCCCCGGGGCCAGAGCCGCCCCAGGTCCTCGCGGAGGCGGGGGCTGGAGAGCAGGTAGAGCAGGGGGTTCAGGCAGGCGGGCAGCGGCAGCACCAGCAGCAGGACCGACTTGACGGCCTCGGGCGCCACGGGCAGGAGGCCCAGCGTGGAGGCCACGCTGAGGAAGGCCACGGGGCAGTGGAGCAGCCCGTCGGCCAGGATGAGCCAGGCCACGTGCCGCGCCAGGGCGCCGTCCCCGGCCGTGCCTGGCGCGCCCCGCGGCAGCTCGCAGTAGAGCCGGGTGTGGGCGCAGGCCGCCACCAGGAAGCAGAGGGAGTGCAGCACCACCAGGGCCACGGCGAAGCCCGGGGCGGCCGGCCGGCCCTCGGGCGGCGTGTAGGGCAGGCAGAGCGGCGAGGCCCCGTAGTCCCCCACCGAGGCCAGGGGCAGGGCGGCCGCCAGCCCCGCCAGCACCAGGCAGCCCAGCGCCCCCGCCCGCACGCCGCCCAGGGCGGGTGCCTTCCCGCGGGCCCGGGCGCAGGAGGCGGAGGCGCTGCACTGCAAGGCAGCCAGGGCCAGCAGCAGCGCCGAGGCCTCGGACCCGAGCACGGCCAGGAAGCCCGTGGCCCGGCAGCCTGGCCCCGACTCCCAGCGGGCCCCGTACTCGGCGAACCGGCCGAAGGTCAGGGCGTCCACGGAGGCCAGGAGGCCGCAGGAGACGCCGGTGACGGTGTTGGCCCCGGCGATGGCACCGACCACGAACTTGACCGGGGGCAGGGGGCCGGGCCCCCCCGTGAAGACACTCAGCAGCACCAGCGCGTTGCCGAGCAGCGACAGCACAGCGACGGCCCACACGGCCAGGCGGACGGCCCAGCTCTCAAACAGGTGCTCGCAGGGCTTGAAGGGGCCTGTGGGGAGAGGGCAGGCGTGGTCCCAGGCTGCGGGGCCCCCGCTGGGGCGGGGACGGCCCACGGGAGAGACTCACAGCGAGCACACGCAGAGCACACGGACACGCTGCCAGCGCAGGCAGCGAGAGAAGGGTGGGCACGCTGCCCTTCCGCGGGAGCGGCTTCAGGGAGAAAGGGAGGGGCAGGCAGGCCCCGAGGAGTGGACAGGCCGTCGGGATCGGGCGGGGGCTGGAGGAGAGACACCTGGGGGCAAGGGCTGCCCCAAGAACCACCGCCCTGTGGCCACGGCTCTGCTCGCCCGGTCTGGGCCCAGGATGCCCCTGAGGGCCCCGCTGTGGGTGGCCCTGACCCCCTGGTTCAGGGCCAGGGACACAGACCATGGTCAATATCCACAGCGTCTCCCCGAGGCTGGAAGGCACACCGAGGACATTTGAGGCCCCCAAGTCAGACTGGAGGGGACTTCGGGGGTCTCCGGCCTGGCTCTGCCCGGGGCCGTCAGACCCTCCTCTTCCCCTCTGGGCCCTGGGTCCTGGGCTCTGATCGCCTGGTCATTCTGGACGTACTGTGTCCCCATCCCTCCCAGCTCCAGGCCCCTTTCTGGCCGTGCATGGCTACAGGGATTTGAAAAAAAAATTTAGGAGCCATTTTTTTCCCTGATTACCAAGCAATAGATAGTAATTATAGAAAATCTGTAAACTACAACATGGAAAAATGAAAACTACTGATGACCCTACCTCTCAGAGGGAACTCATCTGTTCGGCATGTTTCCTCCCATTAAAAGATACATACATACACAGAGAGTTTTAAACTCCACTGGGGCTTTGCTGTGTATAGCTTTTATTCTTTTAAAGTTAAAATGTTGTTAGGTACTGTTCACCACGCCCCTCATATTCCTCTAAATACACGATCTACTTGGCCATTTGTACGAGCCATGTTAAAGCAAGTTCAAGTTGGACTTTGTCCTTGAAACGTCCTCTTTCACCTGCTGACTCTCGGTTTTCAGAGCTGAAGTTTCTGTCCAGGTGGGGAAAAAACAGCGCCAGCTTCCTGCGCTGCGTCGGCGCGCGCCTGCCCGGGCAGCCACTAGGGGGCGCGCGGCAGTCGCGGGCGCCGAGGGCAGGTGTGGGCAGGCGCGACTTCAGCCTTGGGGGAGGGGGCGGTGAGAAGCGCAGAGGGGCCAGAGCCACAGAGGGGCGGGACCGTGGGGCACGGGCGCGGGTGACACAGAGAAGCCCGCTGCCCCCTGCTCCTGGCTCACGCCGAGCAGCTGCTGCCCTGGCCTGGGCACTGCCTGGTGCACCCAAGGGTGATTTGCACCGAGGGGAGAATATTTTCCCTCTTTCTTTACGGAAGACGGGTTTAGGTTAAACTCTAGAGGAGCTTCCGAGGCGGTAAGGGCTGGCCGCGCCCCAGGTAGTTCCCTGGGGGCGCCGGGGTGTCCCACCCTGGGGCGCTGGGAGACACTCTGGGCCTGAATGGAGGGGCCCAGGGGGCGGGGAAGGTGACCCCGCAGAGTCCCGCCCCCTCCGGGGTCTCTCCGCGGGTCTCAGGCTGGGGGAGTGGTCAGGAGCCGCCCACACTCCCCCTGAGCAATGCTTCTCTCTTCAATGGGGGGGGGCAGCTCTTCCGGGATGCGAGGCCTCTGATTGGTGGATCTGGAAGGGTTTCTTCGGCCTCCCCCCGCACCCCTCCTGCCCAGGAGTCACGGAGGAGGCTGCGCTCCCCGGGAGGTGGGCTCTGGACGCGGAGAGCGCCCGCGCACACGGCCACACGCACACCCGGCTGGCCCCGCCTCCCCGCCCCGCCCCGCCCCGAGGCCCCGCCCACCTGGAACGGGGCTGCACTGGACGCTGGGCTGCGGCCTCCTGTCCTCCGCCTCCAGCTGGAGCTCGTCCAGGTCCAGGTCATCTGGCGGGAAGACCGGAAAGCGGCTTGGGCCCGGGGCTCCGAATGCCCACCCTTTACCTTTACGGAGTCACCCGCCTCACCCCGCCCAGCACAGCCCCTCCAGGCCCCCGAGCTCAGGGTCTGCCCCTTGCGACCCGTGCTGGGCGCTCCGCGTCCTGGGCTCTTCGCGGAGACCTGCCCTTCTGTGACCCGGCTCTGCGCCCTGTCCAGGCGAGAGGGTGTGCGGGTGCTGCCTGCATTTGGGGGGGGGGTTGCACGCAGCCTTGAGGACAGGAGCTGGTGACCCCAGGGCCAGCCTGGCACTGTCACTCCCGGTCCCGCTGGAAACCCTGCGCACTGCAGAGGACCGCTTCCGACAGCTGGGGTGCGGGGACCTCAGAGGGCGGAGGGGCGGAGCAAAAAGGAACGAGGACTCACGGGGGTGGAGAAGAGTGTGGGGGTTGCTGGGGGAGGGGTACAAGTGATCACGGGAAAGAAATACAGTGAGAAGAACGTCTTCTTAAGATGGAGAAGTGAGCCAGAGTGTGTCCAGAGGAGGAGACCCCGGGGACAGTGAGCGGAGGCCACGGGTGTGAGGCAGTCCGGCTGCTGGGACGGACGGTGAGTGGGAACACAAGGACTGTCCTCAGAACGCTAAAGGAGCCTGACCCCCGTGGCTCAGTGGGCTAGGCGTCATCGCGTAAACCGAAAGGTCGCTGGTTCGATTCCCAGTCGGGGCACATGCCGGGGTTACAGGCCAGGTCCCCAGGTGGGCACGTGGGAGAGGCAACAACTGACTGATGTTTCTCTCCCTCTCTTTCTCCCTCCTTAAAAATAAATAAAATCTTTAAACAGAACAGAACGCTGACGGCCTGTCAGGCACGAAGGAGCCGCCCTCCTGCTCTGTGTCCCCCAGGAGGGCAGATGATGCAGGACAGACGCCGGCCTGCAGGAGGCGGCCCTCAGGTTCCCGGGGAGAAGTCGCCGTTCCCGGTGACACACGTGAGTCCCACGGTTCGGCCGGTCCAGCCAGCGGCGCGAGGAGGTCCCCACGCGGAGCCCAGTGTCCGCTGCGTGCCCGGTGCGGGCACAGTGGACCCGACGGGGCCGGATCTCCAGCAGCTTATGGGCGCAGACAGGGAGCACCCTCACGGCTCGTGGGCCGGCCCCCTGGGGCATCGTCGCACAGACAGGAAACCCGGGCTCGTGGAAGGGAGGTGGCTGGCCCCGGCCTCGGCCGGTGAGCCGGCGAGCGGCAGGGCCGACTCCACGCCCAGGCGTGTCTGACCGCAGAGGCCGGGGCTGGACGGGACGCTTGCCCAGGGAGGGCCGATGCGGGGGGTGTGGGGGAGCTTTACAGAAGCAGGAGCTAGGGCCCCTTTCGCCAGAGACGCGGATGCAGGCCGCCCCTAGCGGGAGAAAGGGCAGGTCCACGCTGACCCAGACACCGGACCCCGCCGTCCCGCCCACCCTTCCAGTAGGGTTCTGAGCTGTCGGTCAGCGGGAGAAAACAGGACTAGAAAGGCAAACACATTGCTAAAGAAGGTCTGCACTGTGTTGGATACCAGTGGACTTTTTTCTTATTCTCTGTTACAATGTTTCCTAAATGGTGGCCGGCTGACTCCAGCAGAGCGGGGCCGGAGGAGGGAAGGGACGGACATCTCAGGGTCCACAGATTGTGTAAGGATTTTGAAACAATCTGAAACGTTTATGCAGGTGAAACTCCCGCTCCGTGTGCAGGTTTGAGAGCCAGTGCCCCGGGCCCTTCCTCTGTCTACAGGGGACGACGAACAGGTGACAGTGGCACTGGTCCCCATGTCTGGCTCCCACGGTTTCCTGTGCAGACCCTTCCGCCCCACCCAGAGGGTTCAAGTCTGCCCTGGGAGCGGTCCAGGAGGCGGGCAGCCGTGGAGCGGCTGCAGCCCAGACTCCGGGCGGCCCAGGCTGCCGTGTGCCCGGTCCTGGCATTTCCTTCTCTCCCCACCTTTCCTCCCGCCAGCGCCTGCTCTCCGGAGCGGAGCCCGGCTGCACTCTGAAGTCCAAGTGCATGAATGAAACACACCGCGGAGTCCGTCTGTCTGCGGCTGGGTGTCCCAGCCAAGGGGCTGAGTAACCGCTCTCCCGGCGCGGAGGAACCCGGGCCGGCCCCAGCCAGCGGCAGCCCCGGCTGTGCCACAGGAAGCGGAGCCCCACCCTGGCTCCCCCGCCCTGAGGTCCCCGCAGACCCAGGCCTAGCGGAAAGTTTCACCTCGAGCAAGAAGAGTTTCCATGGCTCCTTCCAGCGCCTGACGCCCGGACGTCCCGGGGACAGCCCAGCTGCCGGGCCTTCTGCCTGGCGCTCACCCTCCTCAGGGGGGGGGCCTTAGCACATGGTGGGGGGCTCCCGGAGCCCCCCGTCACCTGTCCACATGCTGCCCCCCTGCACCAGCTGGCACAGATCTCGGGAGCGCGGCGGCGGCCGGAGAGGTGGACCCTGGGCGCCACCTGTGGTGTCTGACCCGCCCAGAGGGTGTGTGAGGCGGGTCTCACTTCACGGAGCCGGAGACCGAGGCTCAGCCCCGCTGGGGGACCTGTCCAAGGCGCCCGGCTGCTGGCGGTCAGTCCGTCGGGTTTAGAGCCCAGATCTGCCTGCATCGCTGGGAGACGCTCTCCTGCACACTTAGCTTTCATCTTTCTGCTCACTTCTCCGTGTTGGGGGCGGGGAGGGTTGGAGCTCGGACAGGAACACAGAACTCTGCCTGTCACTGGAGCCGGGGGCTGGTCCCTGTCCTCACCTGAGACACCTTCAGGAGGTGGTCTCTCAGGTCCCCCTTGGCTGCCTGCCCCCACCTTTTTGCCTTCTGCCCAAATCTTCCAGAAATGGGGACCCATCTGGCCCCGACGGCCTCGGCTGGGGTCCCCTTCTCAGAGAGGCCCTCGGGCACCCAGTGGCCGCAGAAGGGTCCCGCTGAGACTCTCGGGGCTGGCTGGTGGGGCAGGACGAGGCAGACAGTGTCCTCCCTGTGCTGTTCTTTTGGACTGCAGGACCGAGGTGGGGACTTTTTCTGGAAGCAGGTTGAACTTAATCGACCTAATTCAAGCCTCCTCCTCGGGAGAAATAGGCGAGTTCCCGAGCATGCCCTGCAGCTGGAGGGCTGCGGGGAGGCCGTGTGGGCAGGGGACGGTGCCACCGGGCAGGGAGGCAGGGGTGCGGGATGAGGGGCTTTGGGAACACTAACGGCATGCCTCCATCACCGGTGTCTCCGGCGGGCACACTGCTGCCATGCGGCCTCGGAGAGACGGCCCCTCCCTGAGTCCCCTCTCTGTGTCCCCAGGCCCCCGGCCTGCCCGCCCTTCCCCACAGATCCCGCCTGCGCCTCCCAGGTCTCCGTCACTCACAGTGGCTCTCGGCTTGTCCCGCGAGAAGTCCCAGGGGACTCTTGGGAGCCTCCTCATCCTCTGGGTGGACGCCGTCCGCCTCCCGCGGCCCGGGGGCCTTAAAGAGGCCCGCGCAGAGGCCACCGTAGGCGCAGCACTGGTAGGCGTGTGGCGCCTCCAGGACCCTGCGGGGCGGGGAGGGATGCGGCTGTGTCAGGAACACTTGGGGCCTCATCCCAGGCTCCCCACACCCAGCGCCTGCCCTCCGACCCCAGAGTGCCCCCACGCCCTGCAGGTGGCTTCCTGGCACAGTGCTAGAGGGTCAGCAGCCTGGCTCCAGCCTTGCAAGGTCTGGGCACATTTCAGTCCGGAGAATGGAGTTGGGGCCATGGACTTGCTGCCCTCAGCAGGCACAGAGTGGGGGGTGGCCCCCCAAGGTCACACAGCACCGAGGGGCTCTGGTCCCCTCCCAGCGAACACCTCTCCTTTAAACTGAAGGAGACAGGATTCTCCTGGTGACCTCTGTGCTTGCGTTCAGGGGGGCCTGCCCCTGGCCCCCCCACCCTGGCACATTGAGTTGGATGGGTGCCCTGTGAGGGGACCCTGGGTGCCATTAGTGCCGGATGGGTGATGCACCCGGGGTTCTGCTCAGCAGCCTCGTTCTGCCCTGGCTCCGGGGGCCCAGGGGCAGCTCAAATGCAGGGAGGGGGCGAGGGGCAGGGAGGTGTGGGGGCCTTCCCATCGTCTTCCGTCCTCATGGGGTCCCTGGGCCTGGGGCTGGGACGGGGAATGCTGTGGGGGTGGGGGTGGGGCAGGAAGGGGAGGGGTGAGGCCTCTGCTCAGCCTGGACACCAGGCATTGCTGGTGGCCTCCGCGTGTCCCTCACGGCCTCTCAGCTGCCCCGGGGCAGACCTCCCTTGGGGGTGGGGGAAAGCCAGGCCCTCACCTCAGTTTGGGGAAACTGTCCTTGGAGAAGGCCTGAGACAGAGCTGGGTTCCCTTTGAGTTTGAGGTGCACCAGGCCCCCCAGCCCGGCCAGGGGCAGTGCGGTCAGCTGGTTGTCTCTCAGGTCCCTAGGACAGTGGGCGGTCAGGGTTGCTGGCCGTCGGGGGACTGCGGGGCCAGGGCCACGCTGAGGGTGTGGCCGGAGGGGAGGAGCGAAGGGCCGACGGTCACAGGCCGGGAGGGCAGCTCTGGGTGCTGGGTGGGGAGGGCGGCCAGCAGAGGCGCCGGGCACCACGCACTCGCTCGCTCGCTCATGCGCTCATCAAACGTGGGCGCTGACTGTCCACCAGGGGTCATCCCACCTCGGGGGTGACCGGGCCCCTCGGCTGCTGCTCTTGTGCCAGGCGGGAGTCCCATCCAGGAGGCCCTGCCCCACCCCTGCCTCTCTGACGACACTGGAGCCCAGAGCTGGGCCTGGACACAGCTGGCCGGCTGCTGGTCTGTTCCCTCTGCAGCCAGAGGTGAGGCCAGCTGTGTCGTGCCCCAGTCCCAGAGGGAGGGAGGGGGGAGGGGAGCCCTGCAGCCCAGGCCTGGGGAGCGCCGGACAAGAGGGACTGTGGGTGTGGGCACGGTGGGCCCCTGAGGCGGAGCCGGGGCTAGCCCCGGAGGGGTCTCAGTGAGAACCAGAAGGGGCCCCCTGGGGGCACGGGGGGGGGGCGCGCCTTCTGGACAGGCAGCCGGCCGGCAGCTCCCCTGGTGCAGATCGGGCCCTCTCCTCAGCGGGCGGCTGTGCATCAGCGGCCCTTCCAGCTCCGACTTCACCGCCAGCGAGGTGGCCAGCGCGATGCGCCACCTGCCGTGTCCTACCTAACCCCGAGGCCCGTGGCTCCCCCGCCCGCAGAATGGCAGCGCTCCGTGGGGATGCCCACGCTGGGGCCCTGGCTCCCCTTCTGCCTCCACCCTCCGGTGCGGGGAGGGGCTCGGGCCGTCAGCACCGGGCAGGGGCGGGGCAGGCTGGGGCACAGGGAGGCCCAGGCTCCCAAAATGCCGCAGAGCACCCCACAGCCTGCAGGGGGCGCTGCTCTCTGGGAACAGGCTCGCAGCCGGTCAAACGGCCGGTCCGTGCCTGATGAGGCTGGAGCCCTCGGCCCCGGGACCTGTGGTCAGGCACCCGCACCGGTGCCCGCTCTAGCGTGGGTCCTGCTGTCCCCCACCGGCCGGCAGCACCCAGGACGGGGACACGGGGGCACTCACAGCTTGACCAGGGAGCGCAGGGTCGAGAAGGCCTCTGGGTGGATGGACCGGATGGCGTTCCAGCTCAGGTCCCTGCGGGCGGGCGGAGAGGGTGTGAGCGGAGGGACGGGACCGTGGAGGACTCCCTGCCCCTCCCCCAGTTCTCCTGGGCTCACCCTGTCTGAGCTGCCCCTGCAGGCGAAGGCACCTGCAGCCTGGCTCCCGGCTGGCCGTGGCCCCCAAAACGGGCCATGGCAGCCCGACCTCAGAGCCACACAGCCCCTGGGGGACCCGCCGGGGATGCGGCTGGAGAAGCTGTCTGGGAGGGAGAAGCTGGGAGGGGGAGGGGGCACCTGGCCTGCTGTGTGTGTGCTGCGGCTGTGTGTGCAGGGACCTGTGTGCAGGGACCTGTGTGCACGTCACGAGAGCAGTAGCCCTGAGCCTCCCCCCAGACGCCCCCCCGCCCCCCGTGCACGGGTACTCACAGGGCCCGCAGGGAGCTCAGCTGGCGGAAGGTGTCGGCTCCAACCTCCCAGATGCGGTTGTGCTGGAGGCCGCTAAGGCGTCAAGACAGGCTGGTGACTGGGGGCTCCAACCCTGGCTGCACTCCAGGACGAGCCCCCCCCCCAAACACACTGGGCAGAGAAAGGACAGCCCCCACTCCTCCTGGCGCAGAGAGTGAGGGCCTAGCCCAAGGCAGCCGCCGGCATCAAAGGGATCGGTTGCTCTGGGTAAGTGGGTCAGCAGACAAAGCCACAGTGCTGGCCCTGTGGCCCAAGAGAGAGTCCGTTCCCAGGGCTCCCATCGGGCCTGGCGCCCCGCCCAGCGACCTCACCCTGTGGGTCCTCCAGACCCAGGTCCAGCACCAGAGCCCCTCCCTGCCCAGCCCTCGCACGGCCGGTGACTGGCCCCGGCAGAGCTCAGTGGACTGAGAGGCTGGGGCCTCGGCACCTGCAGGGGTACCTCGACAGGCCCTGACACCCTGCCCGGGCCCCCAAAGGCACCGATCGCCCCGCGGAGACCTGGGACAGACCCAGGAGGCCCTGCCAGCTGGAGAGCAGGGGCCGGGTGGCTGCTTCAGAGAGAATCTTTCACGTGACTCTGTTCCCTGTCAGGTCGGAACCCAGGCCCCCAGCGTGTGTGTGTGTGTGTGTGTGTGCGCGCACACACATTGCACGGACGGCGTGCACACGCGAGAGCGCACGTGTGGCTGGGGGAAGTGACAGTGTGCTCTGAAGGCAGGCCCTTCCCGGGTCCAGCTCTCCGGGCCGATGTGCTCTGGTCCCTCACTGCCCTGTTGCTCTCGACCCTCAGGGAGCCTCCTGCAGGCTCCCCGGGCACCGGCTCCTGGCCGGTCAGCTGCTGCCCAGGCCTCGGGCCAGCCCCCGCCCCCACCTCAGGGAAGGTCGGCACGCAGAGCCCTCCCCACAGACCATCTGGAATCTGCTCACGCCCGCCCCCGGCCCCACTCACATCTCCTCCAGCTTCTGGCACCTGTGCAGGCTGGGCAGCTCCTCGATGCGGTTATGAGACAGTTCCCTGGGGGAGGGGGTGGGGGCCGGCGTGACGCGGGGCCAGGGGAGCAGCCGGGTCAGGCAGCTGAGGCCGGGCGGGCCCTGCGGGGACGTGGCTGCCGACGCACGTCACTCCGGGACCCCTCCCTGACCAGGAGGGGCCTCTGCAGCCCAGGGGCACCAGGGGCGTGAGGCGGGGCTGCAGGGGGCTGAGCCGGGGCGCGGGGGACACTCACAGGATGCGGAGCCTGGGCAGCTGCTGGCACATCCCGGGCGGGAGCAGCCGGACGCCGGCGCGGGTCAGGGTCCTGCGGGGGAAGGAGACAGGGACAGGGAGGAAAGTAGGTGGTGGGGCCCTGGGAACCGAGTGCCAGTGTCCCCCACCCCCGTGCTGCAGGGGAGAGAGGACGGGAAGGAAGGGGAGGGCAGGGGCTGCCCGGGGAGGGGCAGGTTGGAGAGCAGCCTGGTGCAGGGACAGGGTGTCCCAGGAAAGACCAAAGCCAAGGTCATCCTTGGAGGACATTTTCTGGATGCCAGGGAGTCTCAGGGGACAACAGAGGCACAGGGAGCGTCTCTCCCACTGTGCCGTGGGTGGGCTGGGCGACGTGGGTGGGGAAGGGTGGGACAGGGGACCCCGAACTTGTCCCATTCATTGTCTCAAACGGTCTCAGGGTCTGCTAAGCCCCGCCCCCTGCCCCCCCAGGGGTGAGTGAGAAAGTTCAGGCTGACACTCAGCTTCAGAAGGCCAAGGAGGCAGCCTCTCACCCCCTCCCTGCTGCAAGGCCTCAGGCACGCACGGCTGGGGGAGGGGCCCTGCAGTCACTCACCCTGAACCACCTGCCCCCCGCCCTGCCCGCAGTAGTGCCCCATCCAGAGCCCCATCCAGAGCCCGCCGGGACCTGGGGGCCCAGCCAGGCGACCTCTGGAGCCCCCAGCAGGAGGCGGCCAGGTAGGGGCTAGCAAGACCAAGGACACCCAGGTGGGCGGAGCCCGGGCCGGGGGCGGGGCGGCCGGAGAGCCACTCACAGGGCCTCCAGGCTGGTGGTGCCTTTGAGGTCCGGGAACTCCTGGAGGTCCGTGGCTCCGTTCAGGGACCTGGAAGCAGCCACAGCCTGAGGGCGGGGTCTACCGGCGCCCGGCCTGGGGGGCGGGGGGCTCTCCCCGCAGAGACCTCCACACCCCGCGGGGGGAGTGTCCTCCTCCCCGCCGGCCCCACAGCCAGCCGCGCTCGGGCTCCGGCCCTGTTTGGACGGTGACAGCCCGGTGCTTCCGAGAAAGCTCGGGCTGCGGGGTTTGCTGCTCAGAGCCCCAGACAGGGGCTCCCCGAAACTCTTGCCTTCCGGGGTTTCCTCAGCACCCCTTTCTGAAGCTGCTCCAGACGGGAAGCTCCCCCCACCCCCACCTTGAGGAGACGCGAAGCCCAGGGACCCGCACTGGGAGAGGGGGCTTCAGGCCCGGGGCGGGGGCGGGGCAGAGTCCCGGGCTGCTGCCCGAGCAGGGCCTGCGGCTCAGGGGCCCAGGGCCCGGCCGTGTGACGTCCTTACAGCCTGCGCTCAGGGCGGGGCGAAGGGCGACACGGGACACCCAAGGGAAGCGCGTGCTTTACAGACGCTGCAGTGAGGCTGGGGGTCACCGTGGGCGGTGCTTCCACGAAGGGGCGGTGCTTCCCAGAAGGGGCGGGGCTTCCCCGAAGGGGCGGGGCCTGGGCTGGGAACGGACGTGGAGCGGGAGGGAGGAAGCGAGCGGTGCGGCCCGGGCGCTGGAGAACCTGGAGAACCGCAGCCTGGCCCCGGAGTTTTGCGCAGGTGCTCCCGGTGCGGCTACCTGCAGAGGCCGGTCCACGGCCCTGCCCGGGGACAGGCCCCGCCCACCCACGACAGAGAAGGGAAGAAGCCGCGGGGGCAGGGAGGCTGTGCAGTCCCCACATCGGGGAAGGGCCGGAGCAAGGGGAGGCCGGTGCGCCTCTGGGGTCTGAGCCCGGGGGTGGGGGGGGGGGGGTCCCGGCTGGGGCTACTACGCACAGCGTGTGCAGCTTCGGCAGGTCCTGGAACGCCGACCTCCCCACGGACTGGATCGGGTTGTCGTAGAAGTGGCTGGAAGGGCCCAGGCACCGAGCTCAGCGATCCTTCCGCCGGGACCGCGGCCGCTCTCCGCTGTCTCCCCCAACCACGGAGCCCGTGAAGGGCGCCCCCTCGCGCGGCCCCCCGGCCCCCGCCCGCAGACGCCGCCGGAGCAGCCGGGACTCACATCGCCTGCAGCAGCGGGTTCCCCACGAAGGCCTTCTCCGGGATGGCCCGGATGTTGTTGTTGTGGAAGCCCCTGGAAGACAGCGGGGTCAGCGGGGGCGGGGGAGGGGGCAGGGACGCCTGTGACCTCAGGGGGACACGCGGGCTCCAGGGAGCTGGCGGACCGCCCCCCAGAAAGGCCGGAGACCAAAGGCAGGGCCACCCGCGGGGAGACCCAGGTCCAAGTCTGCTTGGGACTTTTCTTCATCCATCCAACACCGCCCCCCACCCACCTCCCTGACAGGCGTGGGGGTGGGGCCTGAGGAGGCCCCAGAGCAGTTCAGCTGGGGGGGTCCTGTCCATCAGCACCACCACTGTCACTCACTGTCACCCCCTGGAGGGTCCCTGGGGGGACGCGGAGGGTGTGTGGGAAGAGGAGACCAAGGTGGAGAAAACAGGACTTCCAGGGGACCCGGGCAGGGCTGGGCCCCAGAGGGACGCCGGCCTGGCCTGGAGGCCAGGAAACCAAAGCACAGAGGAGGGGGCGGGGCAGGAGGACAGGCAGAGGGAGGGGTGTGGACAGGCTGGACACAACACAGGGCCGTGCAGACCCGGGCGGATGCCCGGGGCCCTGAGGCAGGAGCTTGTGTCTGGTTAGCTAGGGAGGACCTTCCAAAACACGTGCTCAGGAAAAAATGACACAAAACCAGTGAGTGCTGGGCCACGCAGCACAGAACCCCGACGGGGCAGCCACCCCCGTCTCCGCGGCGATTCCAGCTTCGCCGGGGCCTCTGGGTCACCTCCCCTCGCTCTCGGTCCCCCTGGGCCCCCAGCTGTCGCTGACCCTGGGCCTCCGGCCAATGCCACCACCTGGGCCGGCTGTGTCGGCGTGGAGCTGACGCCGGGGTTCGCACGTGTAGGGGACAGAGGCCCTGTCCCCAAGCAGCTGTCCCTCCAGAGTCACAGGGACATAAGCAGATGGACAGACAAGGAGGAGGCACGAATCCTCCAGCCCCTGACACCCCGGTCTCTGCTCGAGTGTGTCAGCCTCTCCCGTCCCCTCCACGCCCACACTCTCCTCTCAGTGGTCGGGACTTCACCCTCCTTGCCTGCCTGGCACTGAGCAGAACTCAGCCTACGGGAGACAGGGGACCTCCAGGGGTCCCCTCCGACCCGCCGGTCCGGCATGCATCTCGGACCAGGTGGCGGGGCAGCGTGAAGGCGCCACTGCCGTCCAGGTGGCCGTCGGCGTGGAGACCCTGCCTGAGGCCCGGGCCCCTCGGGTCGCCCTCGGTCTCTCTCTGGCTGCCCCCTCCCCAGTCGGTGCCCCTGTGCTCCTGCTCCCACCCCGCCCCACCCCCAGCCGCCCCGGCCCCCCGGCGCAGGGTGCGGCCCCCGGCGCAGGGTGCGGGGCGCGGGCGGCAGAGGCACTCACAGCTCCTGCAGCCTGCCCAGCGTGCGCACGGCGACGGGGAACTGGCGCAGCTCGTTGTGGTTCAGGTCCCTGGAAGGAAGCAGAGGCCTCGTCGGGAGCGGCCGGGGCGGGACTGCCCGGCTGCGGGTCCCGCCGGCCCCGCCGGGAGACGCGTGTGAGGACACCTGTGTGTGCGCGTGTCCTCCCGCCCCTCAAACCCGCAGCGAGCAGCCCCGCAGCGAGGGGACGAGGGGACAGGGAGACGGGCCGGCTGGCCAGGAACTGCCCCTGCTGGCCAAGGAAGCCCTTGACGCCTCCGGGGACACCCGTGGGGCAGGGGGACGGGTGACAGAGAGAACCCTTAACCCCTGTCACCAGCTCTTAAGGCATTGAGGGTGTCCTCCTCCAGATCTGGAGGCTGATGTGAAAAAGGTGCAGGGCGGTCCCGCGGGGACACTGTGGGGCTGGCTCGGGGCCACGGGGACCCTGGCGCGAGCCCCCCGCAGCCTGCTGCCAGACCCACGCCCCGTCAGCCAGGGCCCTCCTTGGCCGTCTCTGGCCGGGAGGCTGCCGGGCCCGGCCTGGCCGACGGGGGAGAAGGCGAGGGAATGCGCAGCTGTGTCCGTAGGGAGACGTGGGAGACCGGAAGCAGCAAATGTCAGGAGGCCCCCTGCCCGCGGCATGCCAGCGGGGCGGCCGGGCGGGCCCACGCGGGTGTGCATGTGGGTGTGGCCGGCGGGGCGCAGGCTGCGTCTGGGGCCGCTCAGACGTGACCTCTGCTCCGCCAGCCCCGCCGGGCACCTCGGGAGGCAGAGGCCCGGGCGAGAAGTTTCCCGTGGAGAACACGCCAGGGACTAGGACCCTTGCACACTGGAGGTCATGGGCAACCTCTGCATCGGCGGAGAAGGGAAGGGGGTGGAGCCGGCAGGGAGGGGTGACGGCGTCAGGGGACGTCTGTGCTGTGCAGTCGGCGAAGGACCGGTGCCGGCTCGGCTGAGCCGAGGCAGCGTTCGGGGGTGGGGCGGGACGGGTGTCTCCCTGGACCGCCGCCCTCGGAGGTGCCGGCCACGTGCCAGCCCCTCGGCGCTTGCCCGGGGCGGCGCCCCCAGCCTACGTCGTCAGGCAGGTGCCGCTGTCGTGCCCACTGCACGGGTCGGGAGAGCGGGGCGCGGCGGCGTCACATGTTCCCAGTCACACCCGTTCCCACACGGCCGTGACCTGGACCCAGCCGCCCTCCTCCTGTGCGGCGGCTGCCCCGCACCGGCGCCGCCAGCCGGGCGGCTCTTTTGGCTTCCGCTGTCGGCACATCAGCACCCTCAGCCGCTCCGCCGCCCTCCCGCCAGCTCTCCGTGGCTGAGGCCGGCAGCACCGACGGGAACGTCTGCACCGCCCAGAGGGTCCTGCTGGACGGCGGGGAGCCGAGCCGGGACGCAGCTGAGGGTGCTGGACCGACTCCCCGGAGGAAGGGGGGGCAGGGGGAGGCAGGCTGCCGCCGGCCGGGGTCGGATGGCCCGCCAGCCCGTCTCCTCCTCCACAGACTCTCTGCCCCCCCACCAGCTCTCCCGGGGGTGCTCTCCCGGGGGTGCTCTCCCGGGGGTGGCCAGGCCTGAGAAGCCTCGTCCTTGACTGCCCCGTGGAGGGGGGGCACCTGCCGGGAAGAAGCACCCGCCTTGGACCGTTCCAGGGCCCAGAGACGACCCTCTGCGGCTGCAGCCGCTGCCCACAGCGCGGCCTGTCGGCTCCGGCCGCTCAGCGGGGAGCCCGCCCCAGCCCTGGGGGTCCGGAGCCCACACCCTCAGCTGCTACACGTCGTCGGCCGGGAAGACCTTCCAAACGGCACCGGCGACTTGGCCGCTCTCCTACCGAAAGTCGGAGACGGTTCCTCCTGACGTCAGGGATGGGCTCCGGCGACCGAGGTGGTCTGTCCGTCTGTCTGTCCCCTGTGCATCTTCACGTCTGTCCCCGCGTCCTCGGCCGAGGAAACCCGACGCCCCCTTCGAAGCCCGGCTCCAGCAAACCTCCCCTCCCGCAGCCGCGTCCCTGCAGCCGGAGTGGCTCCCGCCCCCCCCCCCACCCCCGCCCCGGCCGGCCTTCTCTCCGGAGCAGCTCGCCTCGGGCGGGAATCAGGGTGGTGGTGGTGATAACAGCGCTGATAATCACCGTAATTACTAGGTAACTCTTGCGGTTCTAGGTGATCTGCGCGTACTAATTCTTCCCGTTCCTCGCCAGCCCTCGGAGGCAGGTGCTGTGCTTACCTCCGTTTTGCCCACGAGGAACTGAGCCAGAGAGAGAGGCCTGGGCTTGGCCCCTCGGCTGAGGGTGGAGGCCCTGGGTGTGCAGCCCGGGCGGCGTGAGGCGGGGGTGGGGGGGGCCGGGGGGGGGCCTCTGTGTGCACACTGCGCCCCGGCCGGCCGGGAGCCGCCGCCCTCAGGGAGCCCGTGGGCCCCCTTTCGGGGCTCCCAGGCCTGGGCGCAGGGCCACACGTGCGGGTGCTCACGGCCAGGGGCGGCTCCCCCAGCTCCAGGGCCGAGGCCTGCGGACGGGGCTGCTCGGGCCCTGTGCCCCCGCCCCACCCCCGCCCGGGGTCAGACTCCGCACGCAGAGCAGAGCCCTCCCTGCAGCACCCCCACGAGGCTCCCTCGGTCCGGCCCTCCTGCAGACGGGTGGTGTCCGACACCCTCGGCCTCAGCCAGAACACCCGTCCCCGGCTGCTTCAACAGCCCGGAACCAGCCAGGAGCCCGGGAAGCACTAACCGCTCCGTCGGCCGCCCTGGGGAGCTGGGGGCAGACGGCGGGGCCCCTGCCGCCCCGGCTCCGTCTGGGAGCCCCACCGCCGCGGCCGATCCTCCCTGCGTCTGCTCGGCCGCTGCCCGCCAGACCCACCCCAACGGGTGGCCGTCCCGCGCCATCGGGGATGCAGCTGCGAAGGCAGAGCCCTGAGCTGCCCAGGGCCACACTCCCAGCGTGTCCCCCCCGCCCCCACCCCGGCCCTGCAGACGCAGAGACGCAGAGACGCAGAGACGGCCGCCTCCCAGACTGTCTGGGGGCCTCGCTGGCTGCGGGCGCAGAGTGCAGAGCTGCGGGTCTCGCTGTCACGCTCGCTGGCCAGCCCCCGTGCCAGACCGGTAAGGGGACGCGGGCTCAGAGCCCTGGCGCAGTTAGGCCCGAGGGGCACGCTTCCCACACACGGCAGAGATGCGCGCTGGCAGGCGCCCCCTCTGAGAGGGCCGTTTACGGGACAGTGAGGAGGAGGACGGGGGGGAACCGGGGCCGCGTGACGGCCCCCAACTCTGCACGCTGCGCTGCACGGGCCGCACTGTCCCCTGGCCGGGGGACGCCGCCTCCCTCCCCTCCCCCTTTTACAGGACGTCGGTCACCCGCCTGGACTCTGCGGTCACTGGTCGCCGCACCAGCGGACACAGGAGTTGGCCGCTGTCACGGCCTGGACAGAGGGTCGGTGTGAGTTGCGGTGCGGGCCTCACGCCGATCCTGGGGGTCAGTTTGGGCTCATTCCCGGGTCACAGACGAGGGCCCGAGGCAGAGCGCTGTTGGGGAGGACGGCGCCGAGACCACGTGTCCTGCGCCCTCGCGGGCACACGGAGCCCCCGGCTCGAACCCGAGTCCACCCACTGGGGGCAGAGGCCCGGGGAGCCGGGACTGAGGGAGCCGACGCTCTGACTGACAGTGTCGTCCCGCCTCCAGCAGGGCCGCCCACGGATAAGCGCGGCGGTTAGTGAAGCTGCCGTCAGGTCCCCCGAGAGACACAGGCGCTGCCTCCCCTCAGCCCCCCAGCCCCGCGCTCTTCCTCGCCGGGAGACCAGCACCCGCAGCCGGCGCAGCGGGCTCTGCCGGGAGCACCCGGGACCCGAGACGCCGGGACTCGGAAGGGAGGGAGGAGTCTGCCCGAGGCCGGAGCCGGGTCCGAGTCTGCGCGGGGACCGCCTCAGCCCAGGGGCACCCGCTGCCCCTGCCAGGTGTCCGGGCCACCACCGAGAAACCCCCTCTTCTGCTCGCTCCCCGGCCCCATCACGTCGGCCCGGCACCTGCACGCCGTCCTCCCGAGACAGCCGCCGCGCTCCGCCTCGGGCCTCTCCAAGGCCTTTGAATCGGGGTCTGTCGACGCGTCCTACCCCCCCAGCACCCTCCCCAGAGAAGCCCCCGTCACTGCAGATGTGACGCCCCAGGACCCAGGTTGGGCAGCACCTGCCTCACGTGGCCGCCACGGCGACCTGGAGGCTGTGGGGGGGCGGTCCTGTCACAGCGCCGTGCCTCCAGGGTCTGTCCCGGTGACCCTGCCTCGCAGGTGTGACATCGGGACGTCAGGACGCAGGGTTCCAAGCCACGGAGCTCCCGGGGGGGGGGGACTCTCTCCTCGGGGGGGGGGTCGAGTATCTCCAGACGGTGGCCACGCACGCCCCAGAGACTCAGCGCATTCACAGGACGAGGGACAGCAGCGAGTGGGGGGTCGCCGATTCTGCTGGCTCCTCCCCTCCGACGCCGAGGGACAGACCCACCGGGGGACCTTGGCCAGCAGTTCCCACGGGCGCCCGCCGCCTCCGGAGCCTGCGCTGGGAAGGACTGTCGATGACTCGTCACGGTCACCGACTGCAGGACAAGCGCATCGGGCAGCTCAGTTTCCCGCCTGCAGGAGCCGCGAGGGCTTCCGTGGGGAAAGCCAGAAAAAATGACGTTTTACACGGAGCAATAAATTCCTCTACAGGCCACGGAGCCCCACAGATTTGCAGCTACTAAACCCGCACACGTGGGGTGATGACGGACTGGCGAGGAAGGGTCCCCTCGACCCACCCAGAGCCTGCGTAGTGTGGCCACGGGCGCTGGGCGGGAGGCAGTGACCCAGCCCCAGTCCCGGCCCCTGGACCGCCGGGTGACCTCGGCGAACCGTGCCCGTCTGCCCCGGTCTCCTCACCTGCGACACCAGGGGACACAGCTCCCTCCTGGACAGGCGGGTGGGAGGGGGAACAAGCGAGGTACGAGGCGCCACAAAGGCTCAGAGCGAGCCTTTGAGAGAAAAGCGCCTTCACTTCCCATCGCACCGCCTGACCCGCATGCTTCATTTCGGACCACGAGGCAGAGCCCCGAGAATGCCCACCCTGCCCTCCCAGGCCCCTGCATCACGCGGGTGCTGACTGCCGGTGCTGACGAGGGGGAGCTGGGCCAGAAGGCGTCCACCTGCCATGGCCCCAGGCCCCCTCCCAGAGAACGCCCAGCAGCCCGGGGCCCTGGTTGGTCGGATTCGCTCCACGAGGTGGTGGCGGGGCCCAGAGCCCGTGACCCAGGCCCGAGGGAGGGCCCCCCCGGGTTCCGGCCGAGGGGCAGATACCGGACGCCCAGGTCTGGGGTGGGGGGCAGGCCCATGGGGTGGCAGTGCATCTGCTTGGCTCTTTTCCGGGGGGGGCACCGATTCTATTGGCCGGTACAGCCGGGGACTCCAGGAGCATTTGCCTGCGGCACAGAACGGCACCCCGGTCTCCGGGCTGCGTGTCACGTGGACCGAGCACGGGCCCGGTTTCAGGTGGCCGAGGCAGAACCTCCCCAGAACCACTCTTGCCCGAGAACTCCGCTTCTCAGCCCAGGCGCGGGGGAAGGCCTGCGGCCGACGGGACCCCCGAGGCTCCAGGTCTGGTCGGAGCTGCCAGGTGAGGAAGCAGAGCCTCACGGGCGGCCCACCTCTGATTCCGAGTTTCTCCGCCAGGACAGGCACCCTGGTGGGGCTGGGGGCGGGGAGGGGTGCCTGCAGGACAGGACGGTGTCGCCCTGTGCACCAGGCCGCCCCAGAGCGCAGCGGGGCTGCAGCCTGAGGCTGCGTGCCTGCACGGTGCGCGGGGCACAGTGGTGCGCGGCCCCTGGGCCCTGCCCGCCCCTCTTGGGTTTGCGGGGTCTTTTGGAGCAAAAGAGAGCAGGGGGCACACTTGCCGGCCGACTCCTCTCCCTCCGAGGTTGCCCGCTGCTGGGCGGGTGGGGGGAAAGAGGCCCAAGGCCGCAGCCACCGGCTCCAGCCGGCCGGCCAGCAGGGACAGAGGCGGTGGCGGAACCCAGGGCGCCTGGCCCCAGGGCAGCGCAGGTCGCGAGCCACACCGCCCCGGGCGCTTTCACAACAGGTAGTGATGCTGCGCGTGGGGGGGTGGGATGGGGGGACGTGTCCGTGTCGGGTGGAAAACATGGCAGGCTTAGCTACATGGCATGGGAACTGCGTGTGTGCGTGACCACGCGTATGCTTGCCGACACCTGGCCCCTCCTGCACAGGTGGAAGGGCTGGGCGTCGGAGCCAAACCCTAGATGGGGCAGGGGGCGGGGGCTGGATCCTCCCTCTGCGGCGGAGATGAGAGCGGTCTCACAGGCAGAGATTTTCTGCCCGAGGCAGAAGCGCCCGGCTGGGAGGAGCGCACATGAAAAGCTGCACAGTAATAATGAGGCTGCAAAGCTCGACAATTACCCAACAATTAAAAGCTTTGACTCTGGCTTTCATGCTCCGGCCCCGCCCCTCCCACATCTGGCTGCCCCCGGGCTCCCAAGCGCTGCTCTGCGGACGGAGCATAAAGAACACACTTTCCCCTTTTTAATTGGGGATCAGGAGCTGGAAGCGGAGCTGATCCCTGGAGGGTGGGGAGGAAGGAAGGGGTGGTGCCCAGCCAGCCAGCCAAGGGGGGGCCGGAGGGAGGAGGGGTGCAGGGCGAGGTCCCCAGCGGCCACACGGCAGCCGGCCGCGGAGACCGGCGCCGTTCCTGCGGCCTCTCGGACTAGCGACCAGGGCGCAGGCCAGGGCCGAGGTCGCAGGCTGGAAGGACCCCCTCACGCCCCAGCGGCCCACCCCTGCTGCCCCCTGGCTGTGTCGAGGGGGGCGGGGCACCCCTCCACCCCTCACCTGGGCTTCCCTGCCCGAGCAGAGCAGCGGGAGCCGGCTTTGTGGGGCCCTGCGCCCGGCACATCAAACGCACGGCGGGTGCGGGGCGGCAGGCCGCTCTGTAGTGCAGCCAGCCCCGGCCGCACCCGGCGCAGCGTGCCAGGGGCTGGTTGAGAAAGAAACGGGCAGCGTGCCCCGCGGTGAGGAAACCGCTGCTGCCAGTCGGCTTCTCAGAGGCGCTGGCCCTCCCCCAGCACGCGGGCCCCCGCGGCTTCCCAGCAGGGCACGCCCACACCCGGCCCCGCCCGGAGCTCTCTCTGGGGTCCCCACGCACCCGGCAGGGCAGAGCTGCCCGCTCCCATTCCACGCGAGCGGCGAAGGACGGCCGGGCACCGAGCTGGGGCTGATGTCCATCGGGCCAGCGAACGCACCGCCCCGGGCCCGCTCGGTCCCCAGCAGGCGGCGCGGCCCCGGCGTCAGAGCCCTGGCTGTGACTGCCCGCCGCCCTGGGCGGCTGCGGGGGGAGCACGCGGTCCCATCTCTCGTGGGGCGGGAGACAGGTTGCGTTTCCTGCCGACAGGCTGGGCACCCCTGCACCCGCCCCCAGGCGTGAGGTCAGCAGCAGGGACAGCTGGGCCGGCTCTGACGTTCTCCCAGCATGCACCTTGGCTTCAGGCACGGGAGAGGAGGGGACCGCCATCCTGCCCCACTGCCCCCCGAATCACAGACACGGACGGCCCAGCCTCTGGGACACGCGCACCCAAAACCCCCCCACAGGCGGCCTCCCCTGGCCACCACCTGCCTCCCAGAACTCCCCGATGCCGCTTCAGCTGCTTGAGGACCTGTCCCTGGGGGAGGGGGGGGCGCCCAGGCGTGGGCGTGTGGAGTGCAAGTGGGGGTGAGCGGAGGGTGAGAACACAGGCCGCAGCCCAGGCACCGAGAGTCCTCCCCGACCCTGGTGGCTGGCTGGCACCCGGCGCTGGGGGCCTCCTCCCCGGGGGGCACAGTCCGCCTGTCCGAGGGGGCAGGGGGCATTTTTTCACTCATTCACCCAGGTGACACTGCCGGGGGGGGCGCGTGGGGAGCAGGCGGCAGCCAGGTGCCAGCACCCCGCCCCCGGAGCCCGGCCGCCGCGGCGGGCGCGGGCAGGACGGCGCACGGCCAAGCCCCACACTCACAGTGTCTCCAGGCTGCGCAGCCCCTCGAAGCTGTGGGTCCCCAGGTGCTGGATGCGGTTGTTGTGCAGGTGCCTGTGTGGGAGGAAGGAGGGTCGTCGGCCGGGGCCGCAGCACCGAGCCCGGGGCGGGGCAGGGCGGGGGCAGGGCGGGGGCAGGGCGGGGGCAGGCGGCGGCTCAGGGAGGACGCTGGAGGCTGCTGCACAGACAGGATGACCCCGGTGGTCCAGCCGTCCACCCCAGAGACAAAACAATTGACTGAGACCGACATCGGAAGTCGGAGTCTCCGAGGCCGGGCTGACCGCAGGCGACCCCTTTCCGACTGCTGGTTAAAGGGAGACGGAGTGGAGAGCCCTGGCCACAGCTGGTGCTGCTCCTGCCGCGTCTCGGAGAGGCCTAGTTCGGAGGGGGCTCTGGTCTGAGGCTTCCTCTCTGGTCCTGCTCCCCGGGACCCAGCCTGCCTGACTCAGTGGCCAGACGCACTGATGGCAGCCCACAGCCGACCGCGGCAGACAGCGTGTAATTAAGGGCCAAGTGTTCTGTTACAGGGCTGCAGACAGGCGAGTGCGGTGGCGGGGACTGGTGAAGCCAGAGCAATCAGGGAGGGCTTTCTGGAGGCGGTGACCCGGAGCAGGGCCTTGGAGGGAAGGAGATCTGGACAAGCGGAGGGAAGGGTGTCCCAGGCACCAGCGTCCGTAGCGACAAAGCGCAGGCTGGGGACGGGCCTGGCCAGGGTGCACACAGGCTGGGAGAGAATTCTACGATAAACAGCTAATTGAAAAGAAGCGACCGGATGCTCTTCTCCCAGTTCCTCATGAAATGAGTGGAATAGCAAAACCCCCACTGCGGCCCCAGATGCTGCGAGCAGCAGCAACAAAGCAAGGACAGATGTAACCCCATGAGAGCAAACTGCAAAACCCAGTGGCAAAGGGACTGCACGGGCACGAAAACAAAACCCTGAGGATTCTCCCCAAAACCCTCGAGTGCGCAGAGAGGCAGCTCTGTGGACGGCCTTCCCCTTGGCGCTGCTTCCTGAGCCACGCGCTGAGTCAGGGTCCGGGCGGAGGCCGTGACTCGGGCGTTTCACGGCTCCCAGACCTGCGGGCCGGCAGAGCTGGGGGTCTGGTGAGGCTGGACGCCTCCCCCGAGCACCCCTGCCTCCCCCCGCCAGGGCTCAGACACGTGGGGGGACCCAGTGTCCCCGCAAGACTGGCCCACAAACCGTCGTTGGGAGGGGGGACCCCACGGACCAACAGTGATGCCGCTGGGACCAGTAGGCAGCTTCCCAAGTGACGGCCCCAAAAGGGGGTCGCATGGCGGTTGCCAAACAGCAGGGAGGAGACACACGGACGCAAACGGCGGCAAAGGTCAGGCCTAGCAGAAGATGCCGCTCATGGGAGAGGAGCAGAGGAACACCCCCGCCGCCTTCTGCCGCAGACCGTCGGCTGAACGGCCGTGTCCAAGACGGGACTTTAGGAATGAGAGAAAAGTGACGTCCCGGGCCGGGGAGCCCATGGAGGGCAGGAACTACACCCCAAGACCCTAGTCCTCGGACCTGAAACAACCGCAGCCGAGAGTCAGAGGAAGTGGAGACCTCGGCGAACGGGGCGGTGGGGGGTGGGTCGCGGGCCAGGGTGGTGGGGAGTGGAAGTGGGGGATGCAGTGACTCAGCGCGGAGTCACGGGGTCCGGGAGGGAGGGGCCGGGCGGAGAGACAGAAGGTGCCTGCGGAGGTGGCACAGGAGAGGAAACTCCCCAAGATGAGCAAAGCCTGCAGCTGGAAAGCGTCCGTTGTTTCTGGGGAGCTGGATGCGGGGGGCGTCCCACGGGGGGTCCGGATCCCGGGTGAAAGGCAGAAAGGAAATCGTCTACTTGGGAGAGGCGGGCGGGCCTCCGGATGCCTGCGGGCAGACCCGCCCAGCAGAGGGGCCAGGGCTGGGCCTTGAGGGCCCCGAGAGTCCCCCACCCTCGTCACAGGCTCCACCAGGCCCCAGGGGGACAGACCCCTCCCTCGGGGAGTGTCCGATTTCCTGGAAACACACAGCCCCACCTTCTGGGTGGGCACTGTCCTCCCCACCCAAGGGGCGAGCTCCTCCCCAGCCCCTCCCCAATGCCACCAAACTCTGTCACTTCTTCCTGCCCCCAGTGGAACTCTAGTCTCTGGTCCCCACCCCTCCCCCTCCGCAGCATCTCCGGTCCAAGTCTCAGCTTTGCCAACACCCCCCCTGCACCCCCGCCTCCAGCTCCCTCCTCCAGACCACTTGCTCAGCCCAGGGTGCTGGGCCCCTCTGGCAGCCGCCTGGGGCCAGGCGCTGGGGCTCAAGGCTCAGGCGGAAGAGCCACTGGCGTCCCATCGGGTGCCGCCCTGGGGTCTGGCAGAGCAACAGGAGGGGGCTGCCTCCAGCCAGACCCCTGACCGTCCCCTGAGCGCCGCCCCGTCTGGCTCCCGGGCCTTCCTGCAGCTCATCCCCCGAAGGGCATCTGCTGCCGAAGCCTGTTTCCTCCACTCCCCTGAGCCGGGGAGGGGGGCAGGTGGGGGACAGAGTGGGTCCCTGGCCCCGCCCCAGAGAAGAAGGGGTCGTCTCTGCCCCTGGGCTGGGCTCCTGCGCCCATGGGCCCCCTCGCTGCCTGGGTCCCAGGCCCTCCTCGTGCCCAGCAGCACTCCCCACCCCTTGATCTGCGGCGGCCGAGCGTCCAGCCCCCTAAGGCCCCACACACTTCCGAGTCCTTGACTCCCTTGCTGGAAACCCCAGCCTTGGGGAACCTCTACACCAAGTCGATTCTTCCTTCAAACGGCCCCTCCAGGGCCGCCTCCCCTGCAGCCCTTGGCCACCTCCCCAGCCTGGCCTTTGGTTGGTCAGCGGAGCCTCCTGCTGACCTTTCTGTCTTCAGTCCCCCGGGTGCCCCCTCCTTCCCATTCACCTTTTACCCTCACTGGAAACCCTCACGCGCCCCTCGCCCACTGGCAGACAGTCACCCCTGATGCCCAGAGGCCCGAACCCCGTCCCCAGCCTTTTCTCCTGGACCCCCCCCCCCAGTGTCTTCACTGATACCGCTGGGTCTTCCTCTCTTCCCTGCGAAACCTCCTCACCTGTCCCCACCTGTCTGAGCCAGGACCGCCCCCCTCCGGGCCCCCTGGGCTCCGACGAATCTGACGGCAGGAGCTGTCCTTCCCCACCTTTCCTCCGCTGCTCCCACTGGACCATCGCCCTGGGGGGCAGCGGCTGTACCCCACACTGCGCCCCGCACCCGGGCGCTGCCAGGGACCGTCCCGAGGCCCTCACTTCCCCGTCGCCCTGACCCCACTCCCTCGGGGGGCTGCCGGGTGTCACGGAAGCCGCAGCCAAATACCTGCGGTGCCGGCCCTCTGCAGGGGCTGCCGCCTCCCAGGAGGGATGCGTGGCCGCCCGGTACCGGGGTGCGGCCCCCGGGAGGCTCATCCGGGGTCTCCAGTCGCCCAGGCCAGGGGCTGAGGCGGAGGGGTGCCGGCTGCCCCCAGAGCAGAGCCCCTGACTAACACACGTGTCCCTGCAGCAGCAGCGGTGGGTGTGGAGCCCACAGCAATCACGCACGACCTCGGAGCCCTCCGCAGTCCCCTGTGAGCCCGCCCACCACTCACAGCAATTAGCTGGGAGCTAATTTGCCTCGACAGCCGCCCCCCCCCGGGAGGCAGGTTTCGCCCAGTGCCCACTGCTGCCAGGGCTGCTGTCTCCCAGGTAATCACCCCTCGGGGCGGGCTAATTACCGGTGATGGCTGCTTCTCCGGGCCTGGGAGCCGTGTAAGTCCCTGGGCCAGAGCACCAGCCGCCCCGCCTCGCCACCCGGCCCCGGCGGGGTGGGAGTCCCTTGAGGAAGTCTGGGCCCAGGTGCCCACTCTCCAGGCGCCACCACCGAACACAGCGTCCCTCCAGCCTCTGGCCTCCGAGGACCTCCCCTAGCTCTAGTGGCACTTGGTCTCAGGACAGCCCCGTGGGGTCAGCGGGGCACAGAGGGCACGCAGAGCGGGAGGGCAGGGCCGCAGAGTGGGAGCAGCGCCCCCGGGCCCCCTGCGCCGGGCGTGCGGCCGGGCCCCTGGAGCAGCGGGGCGGAGCGCACTCACAGCACCACCAGGCTGCTGAGGTTCCGGAAGGCGCCGTCGGGGACGTGGCTGATGCGGTTGAGGGCCAGGGTCATGGCCTGCAGGGCAGGGAGGCTGTTGAGGGCCCTGACGGGGACCTCGGTGAGGGCGTTGTCGTCCAGCCACAGGTGGCGGAGGCGGGACAGCCCCTCGAAGCTCCTCTCTGGGACCAGGGAGATGAGGTTGGCGTCGAGGCGCCTGGAGGGAGAGAGGGAGACCAGGGTCAGTGGGGCAAGACGCGAGCCAAGGTGGGGGCCGGGCTGGGAGCACAGCCAGGACCCCGGCCAGCTCCGAGGAGATGCCCTGGGGATACGCTGTGGCCCAGGCCCCCGGGGCCCAGATCCCCTCTGCAGGGCCCCAGATTCTGCCTCCATCGCGGCCCGAGGTGCCTGACCCCCGTGCGGTGCCGTCCTGCTTCCCCTCAGGCCGCAGCTGAACGCACACCCCACGAGTGGGTGGCCCATGCGCCCCCACATCCCTGGCTCCCACCGCCCCCTGCTCTGGGGGGTCTCCGTCCTCCTGCTGCTGTCCACCCCACGGCCACGAAGTCCAGGTCCCCCCACGGACAGGGAGAATCCCCCTCTCCGGGCCGAATCACGACAGCGCTCCCGGGGACGCGGCTGCTCCCTGACCCCCGAGCAGCACGGCCCGGGCCTCGTCCCTCCAGGGCCCCGTGGTGGGACGGGGGCTCCCTGCGCAGCTGATCGGACACGCTGTGACCTGGTGGGGCCCGTCCTGTCCAGAGAGCCCCCCCAGCACGGCCACCACCGCAGGCGCGGTCCTCCCAGAGCGGCCACCCTCCCCTGGACGCTCTGGCTGAGGCTGGGTCACCCGGGGCTCTGGGCACACACGGACCCCTGAGCCCCCCCTCCCCAGTGAGTCTGGCTCGGAAGGGGGCACTGGGCCTCTCTTTGTGAAGACCACCCTAGGGGCGTCCACGCACAGAGGGGCTGGGTCGGATGAACACCAGGAGGTGAAGAGTGCCCCCGTCCCCCCCAGAGTCACCGCTCAGTGACAGAGTGGGGAGCAGGAAGGGCTCCAGGCCCAGGTGAGGCGGGATCGGGGGCCCAGGAGGCATTGGTCAGGGGAGGGGGCAGTGTCTGGCAGACGGAACCAGAGAGCTGCGCTGCAGGAGCCGCCGGGGCCGGGAAGGGGGCAGGCGGGGGACAGGAGGGGGGAGGGCCGGGGGAGGCGGGCCAGGCAGGTGGGCCGAGCTCTGGAGAAGGCCCAGAAACCGCCACTTGGGACTGAAAGAGCCTTTTGAGCCGCTCCCTCGCAGGTGGGACGGCGGCCCGGACGGCCGGGTCTGGCAGGAGGGAGAGAGCGGCCACACCAGTGAAGCCCTGGAACCAGGTTGGCAGCCCCAGCAGCCCCCTCGCCGTGCGTGGGCCCGGGCGCCCCAAGTGGTTCCTGGTGATCTCTCCTACCTGCTCGCACACAGCAGGTGAGCGGGCCTCTCGGGCCGGTCGGGGCCTGCCCGGGCTCCGGGAACCGCTTCACCCCGGGCGCCCCCCTCCCCAGCCAAACTGCTCCCCGCCCCCACCCCGAGGGCTGCAGCTGAGGCTGAGGCTGAGGTGGGGGTCCCCAGGGGCAGGTGGTCGGAAGGCTGGGCCACAGATGCCCCGAGAGCCGGGCAGGCGGGCCCCTCTTGACGAACGGGAGACGGTTAAGTGGAGCAGCTCACCCACGGGGACCCACAGAGCGGGGACGACGGAAAACTCGGGGCCCCACCCTCTCAGGCCCCGCCCACAGATAAGCGAGAGCACAGCCGGTGGGAAGACCCACGGCCCGACCCACCTGCTGGGGATGGGGGCGGGGGTCGGGGGGCGGCCTCTGCACCAGGTCCCCACGCCCGGGTGCCCCCGCAGCACGAGCACCCCACAGGGCCCCCGCAGGGGCCCCCTCTAGTTCCACCAGGCCTCTGCCGCCCCAAACCCTGCCCCTCCCCCTTCTGGGGCTCCCTTCCCCTCGGGGGACAGGGGTGGGGGCAGCTGAGAGCCGCGGCAGCGGCCCCCTCCACGGGGAGGGTCTGAGTTTCTCATTTCTGGTTTATGCCACCGAGCCAGACCTTGCCCTCTCACGGCCAGCCTTTCCATGGGTCAAAGGTGGGAGGTTCAGGCGGAGGCCACGCCGGGCCCAGCCGTCCTCCCTCCTCGGTCCCACACCGAAAGCCCGCCCTTTCTGCCCAGCAGAGGGGGACCCCTGAGCGCCCCTCCCCCTTCCCTTATGTGAATGGGCAGCCGCGTGTGAAAGCAGCTGGCTCCTGGGGTCCCCGCCGGGCTGTCCGAGAGGAGGCCCGGAGCTGGGCTCTGTGGCTCCCCGGCCCTGCCCTCAGCCGCGGGCAGCTGGCGGAGGGACAGGCAGACGGGTTTTCCCGGCGCGCCTCCCCAGGGAGGGCTGTGGTGGCGGAGGGGGCGGAGGTTCAGGAAACACAAGCAACATCCCCGGCTGTAAAGGCACTCAAGTGCCCAGCAGACTCTGCAGTGAGAGGCCCCGGGGAAAGCCAGCCCAGCGGTGACACTTCGAGCGGCGCCCCGGGCGAGGGGCGGGGGAGGGGGGAGCAGCCCCCCTCGGCGGTGGCTTCCCCGGCACGGGGCTCCCGCGCCCTCACAGTCGGTCTTCTCCGTCCCCGCCCCAGGCAGCTTCCCCGTGGACCGGAGCGAGAGCCGGGCGCTCACGGCCGTGTGGTGCTGACCCTCTGCTCCCAGGCTGCCGTCCACCCGCCCTCCATCCACCCAACCATCCCTCCATCCTTCCATCCGTCCACCCATCATCCACCCATCTGTCCGTCCATCCACCGGCCCACCCTCCCATCCACCCATCATCCACCCACCTGTCCATCCATTGTCCATTCATCGCCCATCCGTCCGTCTACCCACCCCTCCATCCGCCCGTCCATCCACGGGTCCGTCCGTCCATCCACTCACACGGACTACAGACCCCCACCCCCACCCCCACCCCCACCCCCAGCTCCGGTCTTGTCTCCCTCCTGCTCAGAGACACCCAGGCTTCAGACGACCCCAAGCCCTTCATCTTGGGTTTTGAGACTCGTGCCCCGAGCGACTCTCTCCCCAGCCCCCCCCTCACTTGCCAGAAGAACCCCCACTCCCCATGTCACCCAGGGAATGAGCCCCTCTGCCTCCTCCTCCCCCCGAGGCCTCACTTAAAGCCCCTCTCCTTCGGGAGCCCGCTGACCGAGCCCCACGGGGCGCGGGCCCCTCCCACACGCGCCCCCCCCCGCTCCTCACCCACGGAGCCACAGCGCCCCCCTCCCCCACCCACCCGCCCTCCCCGAGCTGCCGCCTCCAGTCTCGGAGGGAAACCGAGGACGCAGGCCCACACCGGGACACGTCCCCACGGGGGTTCGCAGCAGCACAGCCACGCCCAGCAGAGGAAGCAGCCCCGTGTCCACCCGCCGAAGGTGGACACGCCAGGGGCAGCCCAGCCGCACGGCACGGCGGGATGCTGCTCGGCCCCGGCAAGGAAGGAGGTGCACACGCGTGCGCGTGAATGCACACGCGGACGGACCGTGAGAGCCCCGAGCTCGGCGAGAGGAGGCGGACATGGAACGCCGGCTCCGTTTCTGCGACGTGTCCAGAGACCAGAGCTGTCGGGGGGCGCTGTGGGAAGGGGGCCAACCCCCGCGAGCCCCGGTTTTCTGGGGGGGCGGGGGGTGACAAAAACGTTCTGGAATCGGTCTTGACGGTCGCGAGAGTCTGTGAAGGGGCCGAACACAGCGGGCCGTGAGCTCCCCAAGGCCGCAGCGGCGTGGCTCCGTGGACGCGTCCTGAGGTTCCCGGGACCTGAGGCCACGAGGCTGGCGCGGGCCCCCGCGGGTGCGGCTGGGAGGGGCACTGAGCCGGCCGGGGTGACGGGGAGACTGCACGTGGGGGGGGCGGGGGGCCGTGTGGGCAGGCGGCCCCCCGCCCGAGCCACATTGTGTCTGGGTGGCACAACTGTGGGTGATTTTCAGTTTCCTCTTTTTGGTTTTTGTGTTTTCTAAATTTTCTACAATGAGTCAGAACAGAAATAAACATGTTGTTTTAAAAACAAATGGCGTCAGTGTGTAATTAAGGCCCAGACGTGGGAGCTGGGAGGAGGCAGCCGGCGGAGCTGGGGGGGCGCGGGATGCTGCCAGGGGGCCGGGAACGGGATGGGGGGGGCAGCCTCCGGGCGGCATGGAAGGACGGGCCCCGCTCTGGGCCCCATGTCGCCCTGGCTCTCCTGCCCGGTGGGGCGCCGGGTCCTGGTGGCAGAGTTGCCTGGCCGTTGCCGTGGTCCAGGCTCTCTCCTGCCGGGGTCCCCTCACTGGCCCCCACTCAGCTAGGGTCCCTGAGCAGGGCTGGACCCCATCAGACTCAGACACTTGGCAGGCCACACAGACAGCGACAGGGAACCCCTGCCCTGGGAAGGGCACAGCGACTTTTGCAGACTTCACAGATGCCAAAGGTCACCCCCTAGTGTCCCAGCCCCGACTGCTGAAGCCAGCTGTCTAGACAGTACCGAAAGGGACTTAAGGCTCAGGGTCAGATGGAGGCAGTCTGGGAGGACTTCCTGGAGGAAGTGAGTGCTGCACGGACATGGGAAGGCTTGAGGGTAGAAGAGGGTAGGTGTGGGGAGCTGAGGGGCATGGGGAAGTGGCCTCACTGGCATGCGTGGACAGCAGCAGGGGCACCACCAGAGACCGGTGTGACTCAGGGGGAGAGTTGCCCCAGCTGGGCCTGGGGGCAGGTGGCTTCCGGTCAGAGGAGCAAGACTGCTCACCAGGGGTGTCCAAGCCTGGGGCATCTCTGGGCCACACGGGAAGAAGAGTCGTCTTGGGCCACATGTTAAACACGTTGTGACACGTAACCGCAAACAAAAGCTCGTCAGGTTTTAGGTACATGTACGATTTCACGTGGGGCCGCACTCACAGCCACCCTGGGCTGCACGTGGGCCGCAGGTTGGACACCCCTGGCCCAGTGGTGGCCGGGTGGTGCCAGGACCTGGGGCCCCCTTGGGTGCCACCCTTCAGCAGGTCCCCAGGCCTGTTCACCCCCACACGGGGCAGAACTGGGCACCAGGGACACAGTCTCTCTCCACCACCCCACTCCCCCCTTCCCGCCCCTCTTCCAGGTGGCTCCGCCCCCCTCCAGGTGTTCTGAGGGGCTTTCACTGCTTGCCCCTTCAGGCCCTGGGCCCCTTCAGGCCCCCGGTAA